GCGAGCCTTTTCCTTCTCGATGGCTCGCCGGCGCTCATCACTGCCGGCTCCTCCGCCTTTTCCTTTGCCGCCGCCGCCTTTGAAAAAGCCGCGGCTGCGCTGTATATCCTTCAAGCGCTGGCGGCTATCCTTGTACGCCGAGTAAGCGTTGTAAACCTCGTCGTCTTCAGAGGCGCCGTAGTCTGAGGCCGTCTCTGCCTCTTCATCGTCGGCGTCCCCGGCAAAGGCAAAGTCATCGCCCTCGTCCTCGGCAAGGTCCTCGCCCTCGACGTCCATCTCCGGGTCGGGGTTCTCCTCGGCATAGTGGGCGAAATGGCGTTTCCCCACTCCTTTGGGTGGCCTCCTGGCGCTGTGGTGGCTCCAATCCCGGCTGGCTGCCTTTTCGCGTTCATGTACATCGTAAAAGCTGACCCTCAAGGCCTTCTCGATGCCCTCCAGGGTGTAAGCCGACTGGTTTGCCAAAAGGATCTGCCGCTTGTCGTCCTTCCCCAGGTTCACGTTCTTCAAGGTGAAGTACGCCAGCAGGTCCTCAGACATCTTGATCCCGTCGCCGAGGTCACAGAGGTCGTCCCAGTCCTGCTTCCTCTGCCGCAGGTACTGGTCGATAGCCTGGCCCTTCCGACGGTAGCACTTGTCGAAGAACTGGTCGAAGGCCTCCGTCTTCCTGATGACCCCGGCCTTCTCGATCTGACCCAGGGCCTTCAGGATTTCCTTGTATCCGTCCTTCGTCTTCAGCTTCTCCGGCTCCGTCATCAGGTCGGCGCAGGCCTTGTAGGCTTCTCCATGGAGGGCCTGCAAAAGGCGCCCAGCAAAGCGCTTTTGCTTCTTTTCCAAAGACCTCTTTTCCTTCGCCTCATCATCGCCGCTGCCTTCCAAACTGTTGAAGGAGAACAAAACTCGCCGTCTGTATTCTTTCATAAGAGAAGCCTGGGCCCCCGTGAAATGAGGGATCCCATCGCGGTCGACGACGATTTCTTCGTCCTTCCAGAAGGCACCTGCGGCTGCTCCCGCTGAGGCCATGGCAGCAAGCTCCGCTACCAGTGCGAAGTTCAACGCACTGGCAGCGCAACCCTTCTTTTACCGCCAAGCAAAACGAAAGAGTGTGTGTTCGTGAAACTGTCCCTGCTCGTTGCCTTAAGCAAAGCAGACCTGAACTTCATGAAGGCATGCGTGCTCGCGTGCCGCAAGGCTCGGGCCGGCTTGATAGAAAGGCGCGGCCACTTCTTGAAAGGACTCTCAGCAAGCACCGGTCACAGCCAACATGTATGCCCATGGGAGCTTTCACACATTGCAAGAAAACTTAGAGAACGCAGCTCCGTGAACACTGCAATGACCCGCGCACAAGATACCTGAACCTGCTAGGGCCGCTAGGGCCTCTTGTCTCTATGGGTGCAAGAAATAGTCCCTCAAGCCTACTAGCTATGTGCTTGGTTCTCTCGGGATCTTGCATAGACTTTAGAAGGGCTTCTTCAACAAAGTAGGGATGTGGACGTGTAGTTAGTAGTTTTCGGTACTCCATGAACTCGACACCCCCGTAGCCCTTTTGGCTGACGAGGCTCATTGGCAATCACTGCACCTGCGGTGTCGTCACCAGCAGGGCAAACCTTCTCGATGGCCTCCAGCTGCTGAGCTTGAGCTGGAGCTTGGGTGTATCTACAGCGAAAGGATATCTGCAGCTAGCTGCCACCTGATTCGCATTAACTGTGTCTCCCGCCAACTCGTTCCCAAAAGAGCTTCTTGAGGTGGGAAAGTCAGGGGCGCCTGCAGCGTCTTCGATCCCGGAGCCGCACAAACGTCCAGCACGGCATTGCCAGGCTCCTGGGCAAAAAATCATCCGGAGGCTCAGCTTGCAGACGATGCTTTGAAGTAGATGCACACATCTCTCGGTTTGCAAAGACTGAACCCACACAATCTTACCGCTCTGCAGAAATAAATGCTTTCACAGGCATCATTAGTGAGGACTTGGTGCGTCGAGGAGTCAACTCCCAGAAGCGCCACGGGCACGGCAGAGACGACTTCCTGCCTCCCGAATCCGAATGGCAGGGGGTGAGTCCTGGAAGCCTGAAGTGGGACACAGCATGAACAAGACCGGTTGAGTATACCCTGATTATTCCTGTGAAGGCTGAGCCTCGAGACCAGGCCCTCCGGTGCCCGGCGACTCAACCAGCGGCCGAGTCTCGCCAAAGGCGCATCGGGCGCCTCTCGCTGCTCCTTCCCCGAGTTCAGAGACTTGGACTCGCGTAGCTTGGATGTCAGGGTGACGACAACGGCCTGAGGCCTCGAGATTGGAACTGCGCCCCTGCGCTTGGACGGGGTCCTGCTTCAGCGTTCGGTCGTCACAGCCCAGCGACACGACCTGTGCACAGGGGAACATTAACAGTCATGGAACTCCAGCATCGTCGATCGAATGCCCATGTGCCAAATACCAAGAGCCTTGGCAAAGTCAAAAACGTGCGGCGCTGGCACAAATCGTCCGCGAGCCGTGTGACAGCCGTTTTTCAGCTCCTGCGAATGCCAGCAGCCCTCATGCAAAGGTCCTTTCTTGTGGCCTGCGACTGCCCCCGCCTCCAAGAACTCGCGGAACTCCGCTTCTGCGACGTTGGACCTCGGCAGAACTTCAGGGCACAATGCCCGACCATGCCTGGAGTTGCAGCGCGGTTATGGGAAGCCTGCTGCCTTGCAGCTTTCGTCAACAGCTGAGCTGAGCGGCACCTTTGCCGTGAAGCGGAAGGAGATGGGCAGCGGCTGGCGGAGAGTATGACAGAGCTTCTGCCACTCCTGCAAAGTGAGCAGGTTGAGCAGACCGTGCCGACTCTAAAACCCACGATATCAAGATCAAGAGTACGAAGTGGACCCGAGAGGAAAGTGCTTTTCCCCATGTCAACACTCTTTAACCTGGTGTTCAAGGATGCTTTTTGCTGAGTTCAGGGGGTCGTGCTCTCTCGGGCTCTCCCGGCTCCTCGTCACTGTGGGCAATCCCCTGAAGCCTGCCAAAGCAGCCAGCAACGGCCGTGTGCTGCCAGTCTCGGCATCTCTCGGCAGTACGTATGAAGGTATGTGTGTGTATTATATATACATAGGCATATAGATCTGTACACACTGTACATGTAAGCTACAGTAGCTGAGACTTCTGTTGGTTGATCTGCAGCATGCGAGTGGGTCGAGCCCTCGGTGCACAGAAGCTTTCCGGAAACGGTTGATATTATTTCCGTACTTCGCTGGGGGACGCCTCAGCAACTCTCCCGGTTCCGTCGCACTTCCCAGCCACATGCCCCAGACTGCCCTGATTTGAGTGCTTGTATATAAATGGTCGGCGCAGCAAGCAAGCAACCTCGCCTGTAGTGCTCCTCGAATCGGGACAGGCCTTGCGTGATGATCCTGACAGAGAGACTCGAGAACTTGGAAAATCTGCTGCGTGCCTTCTCTTTGCACTACAGCAATCCGGCGCTTCGGCTTCTACAGCGGGAGCGACTTGCATGATAGTGCATGGAAGCTGTGGGCAGGGAATGGCGCAGCCTGGAGCTCCTCTTTGCGACATGCAGACTCGACCTGAAGTCCGAAGTTCCCCAACTGAATTCTCGCTGAGCGACTCGCCGAAGCTTGGCTTCGTGGGCCCGGGATCTTCGGCAAAGGCACCTCAGCTGAGGTCGGACGCCACCAGGCGACTCCCCAACCAAGAACCCCCGAAGCTTGGGCTTATAGGGTTGCGAAAGCCGAAGCTTACTGAAGCGGAAGATGATTGCCCCTGTATCAACGTGGGTACCCGCATGCCCGGATATGGCATGAGGTGCATCTGGGAGAAACGGACACACTGTGATCGTCGCCGGTTGAGTTTAACATCACTCACTGGGAAAACCCTCGGGATTCGTGCTGAGAGGGAATTTACAATAGCCTGAAGAAGGCTAGGAGCATCCCAAGTTCATCTCTGAGCGCTTTTAGCTGGCAGCACCATGAGTTCATGCGATCACCCACATTCGACTCAGCTCATCGACGTCGCGACACCCTAAGTTCAGGTAAGGTGTCCCGGGTGCTTGTCTGAGCTTGGGTTTCTGCGCTGCTGGGCGGATCGCCTGGCAGTTTGACAACCGGATCACAATGCCCACCCACGCCTCTAAAGGGTTTCAGGCTCAGGACTCAGATTTCGAAGTTTGGGGACTCTGGGGCGGCTGTTGAGCCGCAGTTTTAAAACTCAACGCAGTCCCAGAGAGATGGGGATACCCCAAAACATCTAGTCTAAATCTGAGACCCTTTTGCAACTGGGGCTCACGTGAATACTAGCAATCAAACCCGACACCTATAAACCCGAAGCACTCTACAAGCCCCAAGCCCTGTAAATCCGAGATATCTTTAAATCCCAAAAGAATGCCCCCAAAGCAACGAAGCAGAGCCTGGCCTCCCCCCTGCGAGCGCAGCCGCTTGCGTGCTCTGCAGCGGCGCTTGCTCCGTGAGCGCTTCATGGCCGACGGAAGGCAACATTTGTGAAGGAAATCGAGGGGTTTAGGGGAGCTATCGAAGTGAAGACTCACACTCACCGGGTCAGAGGACTTAGCACGTAACTAGGTCATATACCTGCGGTTGCGCACATTTCGAGCGTTGCTTGGGGACTCGGGCACAGCTTCTCCTTCTTGGGTCAAGGGTCAAGATTACACAGTTGAAGTGGAGATGCAGACATCTCAGAGATGCAGCTTGGCCATTCCAAAGGTCGCAGCAAAGATCAGCGCAGCAGACACAGGCCGGAGACTTCCACGGTGTGTGATCGAATCTGGCAAGATATCTCCGAGGTTGCTTTGACATGGGCGTGAAGCAGTTTGCGCCCGAAACCCGCAAAGCCCGGCATCTACCCCAGCATACGGGGACCGCCGATGTACACGAAAATGGATCGAACCACCAGGATCCCAGTAAGTGACCCGAAGGCTCCGAGAATCCGATAGGATCACCCCAACCCCTTTTGCCTAAACCCCCTAAACTCCCTCCTTCTCCATTTTGGAAAAGGCCCTGGCATGGCCGCCGGCAGCCCAAGGCTGCCCGGCTGCTGCCAGCCACCCTAGCTCTTACAACGAGGGAGGGGGGGGGGGGTTCCCTTTTAGAGAAAGGTCTGTTGTGTTGTCGGGATCCTACCATGCTTATGGGTCGTTCCTTATTCTCTGAAGATTTCCATGTATGTGTTTGGATGTGGCAAGATACTATGGGCATGTACAGTTTCCAGCAAAAAAGAGACATGTACATGAATAATACAATCATCAACTCAACTCACAAGCCACTATATGCACATGAGCTTCTCATACTCGGCGCAAGCCAGTACCGGAGGGGGGGCTTGAGTCTTAGTGTGCTGCTCTCTCATACAGTCGGACCGGTGCACCAGGCATTCTGCAAGCCTCAAGGAAGCCTTGCTGCGACGCATTCGCATCTCCTACAAGTATAAAGGCTTGTCTACACAGGCCTGCCGGATGGTAAGTTGCAACTGGTACCAGCTCAACACTGCCCCCAATGAGGAGGCTGTAGACATGCTGTCGATACAGCGGCACTGGCGGATTTCACTGCTTTGCAGAGCTATCTGACGGCTTTGGGCTTCTAGCGATTCTAGCGGGGGCCGCAGCCTGGAAGAGATGCACTGCTTCGAGTGACTCGATACTGTGATAGAAATTGCAACTTTCTTGTCTTAGCCCTCGCCAGAGAAGGCGTCCGTGCCTCCACGTCAGGCGGGGCAGGCTCGACGAAGAAGCCGTCCTGCACCAAACGCAAAGGACACTTCCAACATCTTCCAACCGTTGCAGCTCCAGGTCCAAGAGTTGAAGACTCAAGGTAAACTACTGCTTCGTACGCTCTCCAAGGCTCACTGTTTTTACAACAACACTGATCGTGAATCTCAAGGCTCGCAGCTCTCTCCCTTTCTCCCTCCCGTTGCCTTTCCTCTCTTTCTCTCTGCCCCTCTCTCTCCCTGCTCTGCATGTGTTGCGTTTGGCAGTTTAGCCTGACTCGGGCAATTCCCGGGCACTGCCTCGTTGTATCCGAAGGGCATCGCCTCAGTACTTGGATTGGACTCAACCTCTCGCGGTTTCGAGAACAGTGCATGTGAACATGCCATGCATGCGCTGGCAGCCTAAAACGAAAGCCACCAGATTTGATGCCGAAGACTCTGCAGAGGCTTTCCGCAACTCGAACAGCTGATGCAAACCAAGATCGTGACCGGAAAATCGGACTTCTTCGCATGCCGCATGAGCAACGCATCCATGATGGCCTGGCGCAGAAGTCTGCCGGTCTGCCTTCTCTGTCATCCGTCCCAAAAGATGTCGGATTTCCAATCCCCGAAGTCATGAACTTCAGAGTGGTACCAGACTGTACAGGGAATGAGGGCGATCCAGGACACAGTCCGACAACTTTCAAGAAGAGCGAGGTTTTTTTTTGCGAGAACCTTCACAAGTAATGGCAAGCCCTGCATGCTAAAGCTCGCAACACGATGAGCCTTTGGATTCTGTTGTAATCCATCTACATTAACCCACATCTTCCCAGCCTGACTGTCATTGCAACCGGTTTGCTTCGCATGCTCCAGGATCGCAACGCGGTACCTTCGGTGTTTTTCCTGGGGTCTTAGCTCCGGCTTCGGATTTTCTGGGGTGGGCGTCGAGTTTCGAGGGGAAGCACGGTACTAGAGTGACTAGACTCTATCACTATTGTTCTCAGCCAGAACCTCACTGCCTCAGCCTGGGCACTCACAGCACAGGCTACGCATGGAAGCCCTCTGGGCGCTTTTTCTCACATCTTCGGCTCGCCTGTCTCTGAGAACGTTTCAAGCGGATCTCAAGGCCAAAAGCATTGGAAAAGACTTGGATCGCTTTCCGTGGCACCCCAGGCCAGGCTTCCTGGGGGCGCTCCCGCTCCCGTCACGCGCTTCAACCAGGCAACTCCCATCTCCTAGCACTAGCAGTGCAATGCAGAGGAGCCTCCTCGCCTTGAGTCTTTAGAAGTGCTTTCCTCAGAAGAAGAAGAAGAGGTACTCTCTTCGAAAGGGTTTCTAGCGTATTTCTGCACATGGCTTGGAAGCGAGGTTGAGCCGAACCATCTCGGTCTTCGGGGATTTTAGCGACTGCTTCGCTCGAACTTGCAGCCCGGGTGGACCCGCGGACCCGCGCATGTTTCTTTGGAGGGTCGCTCTCCGATTAGGCACTGGCCAGGGCTCCTTGAAGGCTCAGTCATACATGACCTTGCGCCTTGAATTTGTAAGATCTGTGGTAATTACTTCGAATCCGCGTGATGTGCGTCTGCGACGTCAACAACAAACAGCCACTCGACGTCACGAGGTATCTGTAGAGTCTCGCTTGCGTCAGGTCCTGACCACCCTTACTGCAGCTAGGCATGCATGAGCCAATCGATGGGAATTCCGCTATGTCCACGGTCAGTTCCACATCGAGTACTCCATTCAGCAGTGCACTGTCAGATAGCGGCGCGCGCACATCTTCACAGAATTCCTGGAAATCTCGGACTTACGGGTCCGGGTCTCCAGCACTGCCCAAAAAGCCTAAACGGTTCGCAGGGATATCGGTCGTCCACCTGCCACAAGCACAGGGCTAAATGCTGCCCAGGCGTCGCAGTTGTGAGAACAAACCGACAGGCCCTGCTGTCAAGAACTGCTGCACAGGGACGTGTCTCCCGACTCCAAGTTCTCATGCTCTCGCCTTGGAGCCGAGGTCAAGGTTCTCTGTGCAGCAGCGGATGTCATGCATCGTAAGGACCGGGGCTTCAAAAGCCGAGCCGAAAACGCACAAACGGCCACGCAGAGCCGAGTAGCCGAGTAGCAGGGCGATGCACATCTCAGCTCTCGAGTAGCGAGTCGTTGAGGACTCTGAAGATTTGTGCAAAGGGCACCTGAATCAGCCCCTCGGATGAGTGTCGGCTTTGGCATGCTGGCATGCCCGGTCCCTGCAGGCCCACCGAATTTTCCTCAAGGGGTCTGGGCCCTCCTACGGGAACTAGCCTAGACCAAACCGCTTATAGACTTATAGGGTTTCGGTTCACGGTACGATGCATCTACGAGTATCTCTCGTCGTTGCCCCGCAAGTGATCAAAGCCCCTCACTTGGGAAAGCTGCGGGCTGCTGCGACTTCACTCTTGGACTCGCCCAGCTCTCGCCCAGCTCGCCATGCACGTGCCTGAGAGCTGTGGGAGACGGAGCGGCCCTGGAGCTAATGCCTAGTCAGGCAAATCCATGCAACGTCATGAAGACTTCGTGGAAATGTGATATACTCCGCTACATTACACCCCATCTTTCTGCAAAAGGTGGCATGTAACGATCTATAACTCAGCAGCGTCCACAACTCTTTCATTCCAATTCTGTAACGGGATTCGCGACGTGGGACCGGCCCCTAATCCGTGTCCTCCTTACAATCGAAACATGCATTTTCCAAGGACGATGGATCCTATCCGAGAAGCACGGGTCTATCTGTCTATCTGAAGCTTTGCCCCCCTCCAACAGCACGAGCCAGGCTGCAAGAGCTCTTCAGCGAATTTCTCCGCAACCTCTGGAGAAAGCGATCAGGCCTCCCCAAGGCTGGGCGGACATGGCTGTTTAGCAGCAGCTGCTACAAATACCTACAAGTTTAAGTGGACCTTGAGCAGCAGAACATGGAGCTGTCAGGCTGTCTGAAATGCAACGTGGCGGTGCTAGAGGAGGCCTCTCAAGGCTGAGATTCAGAGACCATATACTCCCAGTTCTGTAGCGGAAACCTGGCCTCAGATGCAAAGTGCCATCCATCGGGCTGCTTCCTTGCGCTGCCAGTGGAGCTTTCGGAGGCGGAGGTTCGGGAATTGAAGACTGTGCTGTGTGCGTGTGAGAGCCCGTGCGCTCTGCCAACCAACTCGCTCAAGAGGCGGGAGGAGTTCCGTCCTTCGCGACCCTGTATGGTGCCTTAAGTTGGAATTCGATGTCGATCCTCTGGGCCAACATGCAATTAACCTTCGTGCCTCTACAGTAACAGCTAGCATTGCTAGAATGCTTGCATGTTACCTAAAGCGCCCGCCGGACTTCATGCCATTCCGAAAGAGCACCCGCCCTGTAACTTCGCCTCGCGATGATGACCCGAGGGCGCCCGACGATGTGCTGAGGTGCCCAAACCTGAACAAAGCCAGATTGGTGAGGACAGAAATGCGAAGCAAAAGCCAGCTCTGCGAGGATCACTTGCACTCGAGAATTTTAGTTGGTCACACCGCGCTAGCTACAAGTATAAACACCGAGTAGCGCCGGTCCAGCTGTGGTCCACCTTATCCAGATCACAGCGGATACTTCCAGAACAACTCGTGCATACACGTGATGGGCGGAGCGAGTGCCATGTGGTCTGGCATGTCCGCATGAATTGCACCACAAAACTCGACGCATCGAGGAGCAACAGCTCATGCCGTCAACGTGCTTTCGAGCCACGGATGGCTGATTGGCCATGGCATTGTTGGATTCTACCTCGCAGGCTCGCGGTCGATCTGGGGCCCGTGTTGTTGACGAGTCCTAGGGTCCTAGAAGAAGCATCCGTTCATTCGCCGACCCCCTTTGCCCAAGTCATCGGGCAGAGCGTGCAACCCGAATCGTTAAATGATCCCTGCTTCCGTGGAAGCACAAGTATGAATTTGTGTCGAAGACAGGAAAGCACCACAACATAATGTGAACCACCGGCGGAGATTCAAACAGCCGGCAGGTTCGTTCCAGCCTCCACGGGGTAGTTCTGCGGAGGAGGACCATTGGGGCGGAAAACCTGTCCAGAATGCCTGGAAGCTGCTCAAGCAAAAAAAGCTGGTGCTTCTGCTGCAAGTACCAGACTAACTCTGCAGAAAATCCGAAGCTTCAACAGATCTGCCCAGCTGCGGATTGGGCCTGTACTCCACGCCGCCCTGGTACTGGTTCCCTGCCTTCATGCGTGAATTTATGGAACTAGCGCCTATACTTGGCTTGGGATTGAAGCTTCGTTCGGGTTGCGAACAGCACTTCCGCCTTGTCCCAATGCCCGCGCTGCTCGTGGATGTGCCCGAAGAGATGCACCTCCACAGTGCGATCGGCCACCCGTGGAAGACCCAGGGATGTCAAATGACTGGGACGGAAAATGCCAGACTTCAAACTGCTGGAGGTTGCAAGATAGGATCCCCACAACAGAAACAGCATCAGCACAGAATGCAACATCAAGGTAAGGAATAATCCCTTTCGGCTGCATCACCCGAATTGTGGCCTGAAGCACAAGTGCCTCTCCAACCTTTTAAGGCAAAGCTTGCATGATCCAGCAGCCTTCGGCTTGGTGCGGTAGATGGCATCGAGCCTCCGGTGAGACGCTCAGGAAAAGGTGCTCTGTTGCGTGACCCAAAGCTCTTGAGGATGCTCAAGGGTTGTAAGAACCGCACTGAAACGTGAACAATTGAAGATATCCCTGCAGCAAGAAAGACACACAACGGCATAAATTTCAGACCGTTAACCTGCAATGCATGGCAACAGAAAACACGGTGCAAGCTGAAACACCACAATGCAGCGTGCTCAAGCCGCCCGCCCGAGCATGTATCCGCTTAGCCAAGCCTAAAGCTACGGAGCCCAGTGCACTTTCTTATCTTTCTTGGATACCTTCAGATTATAGTGAACCCCAGACAGTGTTGGAACATGGTGTTGGGATGATTGGTGCTGGGTGTCCCTAGACTTTCCCCCCCAAGACCAGCAGGATATTGAAGTTCCAACTTTCTGGCCCCTATTTTATGATCCTGCCAGGATCCTTCTGCTCGTTAAGAAAGGCTGCAAGAGGAATCCCTGAGCCCTCCTCCACCCTAAGCCCTAAGCTTTTCATTCAAAGGGTGTTTTGTGGCCATGCTGGGCCAAAGAGCAGCTCCCCGCTGGAGCCCCAGTGGCCGCCGCCAGTCATGTCGAAGATTCCAAACGGGGCCTCTTTTTTGGGGACTTAGGGACCATGATGGGATTTAGGGCCTTTTTTTGCCTCCCGCCTGGCTGGGGCTTAGGACCTTTAGACTTTATAGGCTCTACACAAGGCTCAGTTGAGTCGGCTAGGACTCAAGTGTCGTCCGATAAGCACAGTCCTGGATGGTCCATGATCCTCCGGATCCTAACGTGGCGGTGCAACAACTTTCGTCCTTCAGTAGCGTGCTGCCTGCTGTTCGATTCGACGAACGAGGCCGAAAAGACTGAGTTTCTCTTGGAATGCTGGCTGGGTGCGAAGATACAGTCTCCCTGAATAAGTTACGTAGCAAAGGTCTTCGGCCTTGTGGGTCAAGTCTGGGGAAAATGCTGCTAAGGAAGCGGCATGAAGCGTCCAACTTGCCCACCCGACAGTCTGTGCCTCGTGGGTGACGACGATGTCGACACCTCTGGCATCGTGGGGTTTAGCCCAAATTCCATCAGGAATCGTCAACAGAAGACGTGGTGGTGTATCTGGTTCAAGGTCGAGCCAAATTGCTCCATCTGCACTCCAAACAACATGAACTGCTGAGTCATCAAACCGAACCAGAAACCCGCTGCGTGCAGATACTGTACGATTGTCTGTGCGGACATGCTGCAGCCGACAGCTGTGGCTTGTCTACCCTACTTCGTGGGTTGCTGGTCGCATCTTGTTCTTTAGGTACCGTAGGCAGCTTGCGCAGGAACCATGACAAGGGCCATCCCGAAGCCCGGGCCTGCGGGGATGTCGGCATAGTTGTTGCCGGATCGGGAATCTCCCCTTCGGGCGTGCCAGCCGGCGCCCCAGATCTTCAGGCCCATGACCTGCAGGCTGCAAAGAAGCTTTTCCGGTGGCCCAGAGGAGCAGCACAAAGCGGCTCTAGCCGAAACTCGCTCACGCAGATCGCCAGCAAGACATGAAGGCTTAGCGATGGCGAAGGTTCAAGTACAGGTACATGGTAGATCACCCAAAGCAAATGCCTACATCAAGACCACAGGCCAGCAATCCCATCAAGCCTCAGCGAGATCATGATTGAGGACTCGGGCATTTGTGATCCTGTACCTTTCGGCGTCGCATGGAGATCCCTCTGGCTGAGCCCGAGCCGTGAATAGGGCGCAGGGGGCCCAGCTCGCACTTTGAAGACCCTTCTCATCATGGTCGGCGCAAGTGCCACGAATTTTGACGCTTCGGGCATTCACTTCGCTCTTCTTCGCTACTCCGAGGTGCTGGAAGTAGGCTGGATCCTGGACGACATCGTTGGAGATATGTCCGCGATTCAGCCTTCAGGCGGTGCGACGATTGTAGGGGATGCAGAGGGATGTGAGGAACATGTCGAAGCAGGAATCGTGCTGACAAGCCCGAATATCCAAGGAGACTTGGAAAAAGAAGACTGATGACGACAAAGAACGAAGTGGTGGTCATCCTCAGACACGGCCGTCGCCCGGCATCCCGAAAGCCCAAGCTCCTTCTGCACTCCTAGGACAGTGTCTCAGACTTCCAGAATTAGAATTAGAAGAGTGCCTCAAGTGAGAAGCGGAGGAGCTAGGACTCTACCGAAACGAAAGGCATCTGACTTCAAGTCTGACTTCTACAGCTCTACGAGTCAGCGCACAAACCCACAAACCGCCACCTTCTAGACCTTAGATCCAGAAGCTATTGAATCTGGAATTGCCAAACCCGAGAGTAAACCTTTCCAAGTCGATGTCCTTACTAGCATAAAGAGCCCTAGATTCGGCCTCCAGTTGGTGTCCCAGAAGTCGTGGTTTCCAGAAATTACCAGGATGTGCTTGTACTTGCCCCTGGCATCTCAAAGACTACATTACTTTGCAAAATGAGCGGGTGCCGGGCGAAGGATCAGATGGTCAAGAGGCTGCTAGAAGCCCATGAGAACAAAGCAGCTGCGGTACGAATGGAACTGAGTGTATCAAGAACACTGCTGCTGATGCCAATGTGAAATGTCAGCCTCACTGCCTTGTAGTGAACAACAACTGTATGGACACTCATGACTGGCATCTGTTGTGACGGCAGTCGAGTCGCTTCAGGCTGCCGAGCCAGTCGTTGAAATCGCCCAGCTCGCTCTCTGAACCCACCTGAAATGTGGACGGCATCTTTGTTTCCGTTGCGGGCGTCATTGGCCCGTCCCTGAAACAAAATCAGCCTTGGCCCCGTCTACACCGGGTCCATGCCTTGGCCACATCCCCGGAATGGATCAGAATGTCAGCATCCGGCATGTTCCCGGTGCCTCGGGAGCAACTTGGAGCAAGGTGCTGAGGATGAGAAGGTAAGCGTGCAGCTCTGGCAAAAGGAATGGCAAGCACAAGTTTCGCCTCACCGTCAAAATCTTAAGGAGCCAACCCCAAAGATACTCACACGCCATTCTGGCCCGGTGGTATTTCAAACAAGTGCCCCCGGTTTCCAACAGTATCCCGAACACTGTCCAGCCGTGTTTGCACAAGTGGCTTCGATGGAGGCTGTGCGTGTCGCTGATGTGCAAGATCCGGACAACATCCGGGCCTTGCTCCAGGCCTTCGGGGCGAAGATGCTTTCATACACTCAGGCTCCGTCAGGGCTTCAGGCTGAGGAGGCCAAGGCTGTGCGCCCTTCAGCTTCCTGGCTATGGAAGGTGCAGCGCATCGCGAACCGACGTTGGCAAAAGCAGAGCTTCAGACTCCAGTACGCAGCTACTTCAACACCCCATAAGCAGTAAACGACCTTGCTTGCTGCACTTTCATCGCTCGAAACCTCCGACATGACCAAAGACTCCACACCCGAAAATCCAAAACGTGTCTCTGACATTCGCCGACGCAGCCACGATTGCAAGAGTCCGAATGAAGGGCTGGCTGCCTCCTCGCTTGACCTTCAGTCCAGTCGTGGATGCCTTTCTAGCAGGATGCAACGCTGAGGTCAGCTTCGCTGAACTCGTCCAGGAAAACCGTGTGATGCCGAGCCCATGCTGCATGCCTCTTTTCAAGACTCTATGTGTATCAGAACGGCTGTATAACCGTGATACCTCAGCTACCATTCTTGTTTTTGCCGGGCATCTACACCATTCAGGGGTGCTGGCAAAGAACCCCACGCATTTCCACCCCCCCCCCCCACCAACGGTCCAGGAGAAACCGTGTTCAAACTCTCATGTGCCACAGCTGCCTCCAGACCCCTTCAACAAAGCCTCGACAACACCTCAAGAGAGAAACACGGCCTTCGTGGCATTGGTGGCGTTGATTGGCTCTCTCTTGGAGTCTGTCCTCGGCAACGAAGTTGAGGGTTCTGGACTTGGGATGCTACTTATTCAAGTGGAGCAGCACGAGGAAGTGCACTCACGACATCTCTTTGAGCACGGCTGGAGCCTGAGTGTTTGGCCTGTCTGCCCATGGTTTCCACGCTGGCCAAAAACAACATGGACCATTCGCAGTTCGGAGCTATCGGCGGCTTTACACGAGGTGGTGCACGCGGGTGCTGCGAGAGGCCAGGACAGCTTGACGAGATATGACTTTGACGTCGCAGCCGTGCTGGCGAAAAGCGCAGGTTAGTGTTGTCAAGTGTAGTCGTCTTCTTGTTGCGGAGCTGCGAGGCCAAATAGCCAGCTGTCAGGCTGAGGTTCGGCAAGAACAGTGGCTTACAGTAAACTCTGCACTCAGTCCCATGATCATAATCACTAGCTCAGCGTCGCCGTCCCGTTGGCAGCGTCTGCAGCGGCACCAGCGGCAACCAGGAATGCAATCCTCAGATTTGCGACTCTTCGAAACCGGCAGCAAAAAGCGATTCAGCACGACAAGCAACAACGCGCAAAACCCAGAAGCGCTCTCCGCAACTGCCAATCGTCTGATCCAAGGTTCAGTGAAGCGCGAAGCAAAGCCATCGGGTAAGCGAGAGAGCAGCGAGAGAGCAAGTCTCGGGGCAGCCTTCTGAGTCCTCCTCGAGCCTCTAAACCCGCGCGGCGCGGTGCAGCAAAAAGTGTGACATACGCCGTTGATATGACGTTGTGTGCGCGCATTGTTGGAACCTGCTTACCTGTACAAGTAAGCTTCAGGTGCTTCCGTGAGGACTGTGTAATGTCCGCAGTACCTCACTTCTGCCAGCCACATCACTTCCACGGCTTCTCAACACATCAGCAAACGCCGAACGAGTCCTACGACAGGCTACACGAAGGGGCGGGTGATGTGAAAACATGCTATGCAGTCTCCGAAGCCCGATGACCCAAGACCGCCTAATTAATCAAACGCCCTGCAGCATCATGCACCGTGGTCGGCTCTGAAGAAAACCGAAACTTGTATGCAACTGAATCAAAACTCAGATGCTCAGAGGCCCTCGCTGGTACAAGTCTTCGTGGTGCGCATCCGGGGCACCGTTCCTTGTGACGGCTGTGGCATACGGCCCATGGGCAGGTTGTTGCGTTGAAGCTTGAATATCCGGATTTTTCTGCGCGAGAGGTTGCGCCCCAACTGGGGGTTGGTTACCACTCCTCTTCAGTTGTTGGCTTTGCAGGTCCAGACCTTGATATTCGGTTGCTCCTTCCGGAAGCCCATAGGATCTCACAAGACTACCAGCAGAGCAAATTGGCCTGCTGGCAAAAGCTTTCTCCAGAAGGGGGCATCGCCCCTCGGCCAACTTGCTGAGACAACGTTCCATCATAGTTACTAGGCGGTGATAATAAGCTGCAGTGTACCTTTAGCTTCGGAAATTAGAGGAGGGCGAGCGAGGCACCGCTGTCTGGTACAACTTAGCGGCTGGCCACTTGGCCACTTCTTCCGCAGTGACAAGTCTGTGTGCTCTCATGCCCAAACCGCCGCCAACGGAATCTGTGCGAGTCGTGCTACATCTGAATCTGTGAAGCCCCTTGAAACTTGAAGCAGCAAATCTCGAAACTTGGGCTCTCAAAGGCCCTGGTGCTGCATGAGCGTCTGCAACTTCACCTTGATGTTCGAGATCGCCCTGCAAACGTGGGAGCGGCATTATTTCCAAGCTGCACACCAGAATCAGACATAACCATGACGACAGCTGGCGGTCCTAAGCCAAAGCTTCCTCTCGGCAATGCTCCTGAGGCAGATCGCTTATGGAGGGGCACAAGTCCATGGGTCCAGTTGTGGTGCCTTTTACCGAGAGCCCGACCGACAAAACATGCCAGTGTCATTGTCTGTATTGGAAGCAGAACGAATGCAACTGTGCTTTGCGTCTATGCCGATGGGACTTGCCAAGGCATGGGGGGACCAGGGCTCCTTGAGGAAAAAAGATGCTGCTCGATGGTGAAGCAGGTGCAACCTTAGTCGGCACAACCGAAGTACAGCATCGCCAAGGCTGGTGCATGCACCTAAACATGTTGGACGGAAGATGTGGATCAGAGCTTTCCACAGGAACTCTTTCAAAGAACCGCCCAACAGTAGTGCAGGCAGAATGCCTGTCCAAACGTTGGGATTCCATGTTCAGGGGACGAAAGCCGGCCCTGAAGCTTGCGGGCATCAAAGCTGTAAGTGCCCAGCTGATGCCGACCTTCTCAGTGCAAGAGGTGCCTCGGGGCGAGGCCCAGGCTTGAACCGGGGGCAGCCTCCCTGACCAGTTTGGGGCTCTTCTTCGGGGCCTTTTTTAAAGAGTAATGGGCCCTGGGCCCCTCCCTAGTTCCAGCTAGGGCCCCCGCGAGCGGTCACAGAGATCTCTGACAGGCATACCTCGGCTCCAGATTCCAGGTTGCGTGACGTTTTGCCGGAGGGCGCTGAGCTCTTATCAGCAAAACTCGAGAACGGCAATCCGTGCGACATAATGCGAAATGCTCCAGACTTACTTCAGCAGACTGCAAAGCACTAGTGCTGTGTTGTTTTGCTTTCGGCGCTCACACTCGGATTGTCCTGCTTTACGGCTTCCCTATGTATTCGTAGTGCAGATCTTTCCTCCCCTCCTGTTACATATACATAATGACACATTCACTGGATGATAGTAATATAAGACTATCTTATATACTACATACTATATACTATCGTACAGTACAGTATACCCTAGGGTAGCATAGAATCGCATCCCTACCCAACGGAGAGGCCTTGCAGGACTCGTTCTCGTAGAGGGCCAGCCGTGCCTGCGCCGAAGGCGTTCTTCTATGTTTTTGAGCACACCCTTTTGGCTTTTCAATGTTCTCTTTTCTATCAGAGGCTGTCCTTCAGCCCGGAACGGTTTCGGCGCTTGGGCTTAGAGATGTTTAGATTTTTGGATACGCTTCTGCGGAGTCGGACAGCAAGCAGCCCTGCTCAATGCAACGGAGGATGAATGGCGGGCCGGGTCTCCTCCCAGAGCTCATGTTCAACGGCTGCCTGGAGAATGCAGCCTCTAATTGATTGTGGTGGTGCTTTGGTCTGAGTAGAAAGGCACTCCACACTACCAAAGCTCCTGAAGCTGAAGGCAAACGCGAGCAGAACACCAATCTGTCGGACGGCATCGGTGAGCCTTCTCGCCGAGTTGTGGGTGCAGTTCGCAGTAGAGGACCTTTGTACGAGCTTCGTTCTGTCTGACTCTAGCCAACTGTCGGCAAGGAGCCGCACGCATCGGAATTCGTGTGTTTTTGTTCAAACCTGACTTTAGAGGCTAGATTCTAGAGAACATGCCAGCAAAACCCTAACGGACCATGGATTCGGGACGGGGGAGGTGGCATGGAGGCCCTCATGCCAGAGGGACTCGCCAAAAATCCTATGGAGAAGATCTCAGCCCGCACAGCACCTGGCAAACATTCAAGGAGGTGAGCTTACGGATGACTGGGTGCTTTGCCGAGGTGGTCGCTGAGTCGTCATGATGCGCCAAGTACCCTGCCTGGCCGGAGTGATGTTCGGCAGTGACATCCAACAGAAGCTCAAATCTTCCGAGCTTGTGAGTGCGAAGGCTTGCCAGCTCAGTCGCATCTTCAAAACAGCTCTACACAGATTCAAGAGGAAAGTGCCGTCTCTCCGGATCCGCTGTCAGACTACGGAAACTTAGCACACCGGCCATGATCCGGCGATTGGTGGTCGGAACCTTGGTCGGTGCAGACAAGAGTGACGAAGCTTCGCGGGGCGTGGGATAGATTTCTACAAATACCCGCGGACTAGCTGACTTGTCTGACACACCACGCAAGGAACGGATGGTCAGCTAGCTCAGTAGCACTGGCACTGCACGTGTCACCAGAGGCCGCGACGTCTGGCAAAGGCTTCACGGAGATGTGAAAGACAGGAAACAAAGACTGAGTCACCTGGCACTTACAGGGCATGGAAGCGCTGCCAGGAACGTCTTTAATGGGCCACAGCACAGGCTGGCCCCGTTGGCACTGGGCCCCAGGCCAACCGAACGGCTCTGGAGATGTCCATGACCTCAAAGTGCAAAAAACAGCCGACTCCTTTCGGAATGCACTAGGTTGCTTTTCAAAGGTCCTACCATAGACTGGGTGCCAAGCCCAGTTGGATCGCTTCTCCTCCGCCGCCGACTCGTCCTCTGCTGCCGGAACCTCAGCTCATGACCACTTCGATGCCATCAGATCTACAAGTCTTGCAGTCTGTCAAACGGATCGTCTTTAGGCTCCTTATCGTACCACGTGAGCAATGAGCCACTTGTATCACAAGCACGCACTATAGTTTTAATGGGGTCCTGCAGAAAAGAGGGCACCTGAATTCAGATTCTAAATAGAACCTCGGGAGAGGTACCAACCGAAGATGTCTCGGCCCCTGTCCTACGTCCACCACGCCGAATCGCCATCGCAAGGGCTCTCCGGCTCTCCGAGGCTCTGACACCGAAGTAAAGGCAAATGCCGTGTGTAAACATCGAAACCTCTGCCAGGTCATGGCTGTTTCAGAATCTGAGAGGTTAAATGCTGCACGCCCCCTACAGTCTCGGCTTTTTTTCCCTCCAACCGAAGGAAGCATCCGCGTACAGAAGGAAGCTCCGGCCTTGAAGCAGCGGTAGTTGGCAAGGTCAATGCCTTTCTGCGTCACCGCCTCGCCGCTACATTTATACATACATATGGATACTCTCTCTCTGTCTCTCTCTCTCTCTCTCTCTCTCTCTCTCTCTCTCTCTCTCTCTACATATATATATATATAGATATGTGCATATATGCATGTATATATATATGTGCATATATAACATGAACATGTCTACAACCAGCGAGTGTAGGCTTCGGTCGTTTGTGTCTGTCTTTACATCGTTGCAACACCCCGGGTTGGCAGTAGCAACCTCGGTCATTTTCCCTTCTGCCACATCGGCACCTCCTAATTAAAGCAGCGACTGCCAACTCGTTAGCTAAGATGCATCACGATGGTACAAACCAAGCACCGAAGCAGGTCTCCAGATATTCGGATCCGGGCCTGAAACTTGCAGTTCCGAACCATCACGAAGGGCGGAAAGGAGAAGGAGTGCTGGCATTTGGCAGGTCAGGCCATGCGTGGCATGTTTTGAAGGTCTTTCCAAGAATTTGGTAAGGAGATCTTCCGAGTGCTCGTGCTTGCCGAAGCGACCCGAGCAGACAGAAGGCTTGAGGAATGTGGAGAAATTGAAACAAATTGACATGGGAATCCAACTTGCCACCTCCACTCCACGGTGTCGGAATTCGAAGCCGTTCACCTTGCAAAAAAGGGCCGCAGTTCTGATCGGGGCCAACGAGCCCAGTGCATAAACTGACAACCCTCAACCGCTGGAGCACCCGCACTTCCAGCCAGCGGACAATGAGTAGGCTCAGGATTACAGGCACTGCGTTGCAGAGTTTAGGATTCCGACTCTAAGGGATCACGGGCAGTAAAGCGAAGCAGAAGGTGACCGAAGCTTCCAAAATGCAACCCGAGACCGAGTGGGCGACGTAGAGAGAGACGGTCGTTTCGACCACCTCACTGTAGACTCTCGCAACTGGGACAGTGCAGGCGAGTTTCTCTACCAATGAATTCTGGTTTGTGCAGCTCCAGAATGAGAGAAACGTGAAACCGAGGACACAGTGCAAATGCTCGCTACATGTCTGACTGTGTACCGAGTATCCTCTAATTGCGGAATGCACCTGTGCGCTTAATGGTTGTCGAGTTGGCTGCCTTGGCTCTTGCAAAAGCCAAAACGAGCACATGGCCACACTTTGTCGCCATTCAGCTCTCCCACATCCAAGTCTTGGAGTTGTTGGGTTTGGTTGCGAATGGTGGCATCGCAGACAGATCTTCAAGCTCAGACAGTGGAAATCCCCTATGCATCTTTCGCACTCTGACTCTTTCACTCCACCCTGCCACCTCATCCTCCGAGGATAGGAGGTGCAGGCTTTCTTCGCCTGAACAGCGACTCTCCAGTTTGCAACTTCCAGCCTTGTTGTCCCTAACACGAAATCAATATTTGCATGCCAAGGGACGGATGGGAACCCCGCGCAGAGGCTGGTTTACTGTCGCGTCGTACCTTCTCCAAGCTGCAGGGCTGTGTAAAAGTCATGGACTTCGTGTAACCGGGTTGAGTGCTGCCGGAAGCCGCTGGCGATTACACGTCGCTTGGATGTGCGTCGTCATCAGCTGCGAATGCAGCAGGCAAACACAAACGTCTCTACAGGACACTGCAAGTTGTACACAGAGCCTGAACTCCACCCTATTGATCGGAGCGGTACTCTGGCATGTGCGCAGAGGAGTGATGTTTACTGAAGCCGGCAGGCCCTAAACTGAGAGACACAAGAGAAGAACAGGAACCACCCGGGCGCGGCTCACGAGAGTACCTGAGCTGCCGAGCAAACTCGCTTTCAACTGCTGTTTCCTCTCCCCCATTTTTCTTCCATAGCACACGCAAGACATCACAACAATGTCGTGAAAGCCAGTGTCGACATCAGGGCTTCTTAACTCTGCAAACTCACCTTGTCGGCTTCCGCACGACGCAGTGCATCTGTGGTGTCGTGCAAGCTGAGCACCCGGCACCCACCACGTTACTACGGGGCGAAGCATTCGCATCCTCGACGCGGCTTGAATAGAACCGGAGGCAGCAGCTCACCGTGCCACTTCAACTCTCCAACACGAACACTGTCATAGAACCTGCGACCCGGGCCTGGGCCGGTTTGGGGGTGCTAACTTGCAGGAACCCTGGCACCTCGTACTCGGCAAGGGCGTCGTCCGCGAACACCTGTCGACGCGATGCATGATCCCGGCTTCTCTGCCAAAACCCACATGCGAGTCTGCTACCTGTTGTCAGGTTCTGGTGACATCAGAGACCGTTCAACGCGAAAACCACGACGAGGCGTGCGCATGGTGCGAGTGATCTATCCTTTTCTGTGTGATTCAAGAGTCCGATAGCCCCATGCGCCTTGCTCGAGTCAAAAGTGTCGTCTTTTCGTGACCCGCAGATGCACCTGCGCCCCAGGGCAAAAACTGTGTACTCGCCCTCTCACCGAGCCGCTCTGCTGCAGGGAATCTCTTGGTGTGGGGGAGACCACCGAATTTGAAAAAGCACATCCTTTAACTTCGAGTTTCTACCCTCAGATGCGAGATGCCACAGAGTATGCCCAGAGCCTGCAGCCCAAACCCCGCAAGTATACATGCTGGTCGTAGGACGCAGCTGCCATATGTTGCTCCCAATCTCATGGTGTGTCCAAATCTAAGTAACTCCAGGCTGCGCTCCCTCATCCCCCTGAGTCGAAGCTTCCTCGCCGAACCCCCAGGGACTTAGCTGTTCGTGCGGCATACATACATCAAAGGATCGGCAATCTATTTACCAGAACCGCATGGAACCCTTACCAACCCCTATAAAAAATAAACCCTGAACCTTAAATGAAAACACCCAAGCCCTTCTAAAGAAACCCAAAACCCTTGTAAAGAAAGTCAAACTCGACAGTCTCCTTTTCTGCGGGTCAGTGCCACGTCTTGGGATCCCCTCAGGCGTCCCGTCGCTCGGACGACCTGAAAACGCGATCGCACACCATGAATTTACGCTGAGTATCGTTTGTCCTAGTTAGTCTTCGCATGTTGTAGCAATGTTTCAATATAGTACTATATAGCGTATAGACGTGTATGGCACTTTATCATTTTATCATTAATATACTATCCTCATTCCAAAGGTGCCGAAAGCCCGAAACCCATTCTGCATCAACACATTTTGGTGGGCCGGCCGGGTACGGTTTTCTTAGTGGACCCCGAGGAATCTCGCAGTCTGACGTCTCCCGAAAATCAACGCCCAAAACCGCCCTTTACCCTGGGCACCACCAGATCTCGAAACCTTAGCCCCCGACTGTAAAGTGCGCCTGCTTTTTGCACCAGGACATTTGGAATCGCTTGAACACTGGCTGCCTAGCACTATCCCTGCATGTTCAACGGAAGGGTCGCATCTCTCACCTACGACACCTAACATTGCGTGCCACGAGATACATAGCACCTCAGACTGAAGCCCTTCTATTATAGGGCTTACCGTGCTGGGAACTATAATGGTCTTGGAGCCAGCCGGCAGCGGGTTTTATGCTCTACGATGCTCCTTTTGAGTGCTGTGACGATCGGCCCAACTACGTGGTACCCCAAGCGATGGGAGGACTTAGAATAGGTATGTTGCGCGTGACACAGGGAAGTTTATAAGTCATAAGTAAGATGACGCGCATTGGTGCACATCGAAACTCAGATGTCACGATAACCTGCATCCACTTCTGTGGCTCCTGAACATACCAGAAGACTCGTGCATGGCGAACCTTTAGGGACACTGCAATCTCTCACAGTGCCAGCAGGCGGCACTGGCACGCAGGCTGCGAGCTGCAGGAACTTCTCTCAGAGGACTCTGCTATTCTGCACAGAATGAGTTACGTGTGGCCGTATGGGAATATCAAAATCTTCCAAGATCTGCGCTCTGTGAGATGCCGAGGACAACTACATGTGCACGTCACTACCACACTTGAGAGCGTGCTAAGAAGGCGTGCAGCGCATGCTAAGAATGCGTGCAGCGCAAAGAGAAGTCTCGACGTGCTGCCCATGTTGCCCAGGCACCTTCTTTTCCACCTCAGACTTATCTGCTGAAGACTTTCGCAATTGTCTGCGCTAGTGGAGTGGCAGTTGGAGCACAGGCCTTCACGACAGCTGAATGGTCATGCGCACGAATATGGGATGTGTCTGTTGGGAATTTACGACTGATGTACAAGATTCTAGCAGCTGCCAAGGAGCACTCTCACAGAAAGACAAGCCACTCCCCAATGAAACATGCATCATTGCTGGGCAGCTCACATCCAGGCTTGCTTGCCCCATTGCTCGAGGTAGGACTCATATCTACCCCAGGCAGATGTAGCAAAGAAGTGCAAGGCACTTCTCAGGGTGACTCCTGACTTCATGCAACATAGTAGGACAAAACAGTGAAAACGGGCGCCTGGGCTGCCAGCTTGGCTTGTCAATGGAGGAAAATTGCCTGACAAGCGCGTCTCTTCTCGAAGCCCTCACCTGGCAGTCGGATCCATCGGGCCAATAGCTCTGGACTTAGACTAGAATCTGGAGAATGTATGCGTAGGGCCCAATCCGGCCACCGTCGCGAAGCGATCTCAATTACAACGTGGGTTAAGACTGGCTCAAATACCCCCCTTCGTCGCAGGGAGCCTGCCTTACGCTCCGTCTGACTTCCGCAGGCAGTGCAGAATCTGAAAAGGGGCAGGATTTGAATTTACAGAATGCTAATCATCGGGCAGTCGCATGCGCTGAACATGCTGAACTATGGCGCTCATGTTGATGTGCGGAGTGAGGCCAGACTCATCTTCCACTCAAAACACGCATGCACCATGCGCCAAAAGTCAGCCCTCTTCTAGTTACAATATTTCCCGACTGTATAGGACGTTAGTCACTACCCAAGAAGAAGGCTACTTGCACGGGCTCTATGTAGTCCACCCCAAGCTCCATGACAGGTCGAAGTTCTGCCCATTCAGACTCTCTCCTGCATCGGCCGTGTGACAGTTTGTCAAGAAGCGCGGCAGGGTCGAACCCTCCAGCTGCCCTTTCATCGTTTTTTGCGGGTAGGACTGCGCTGAAACTCAAGCTCTTCCAAGACCAGGACCTAGGGCTATAGGCTATAGGTGATGGACACTGTATGCACCGATCCGGCGCAGGACAAGACGGAGGGCTCGCAGCTGCCAGCTGGACCCGAAGGCTCGAGTGCAAACGACAACTGGGCAACTACTGCCACAAGTGGCAAACTTGACAGGCAATAGCTCTGAACATGCTGCCGCGAGGACATCCAAGTGTTGGAAACTTGTGCCGATTTGCATGAACAAGGCATATGCAAGAAAACAAAACTAGCCGGTGGTCATACATAGTGCTGCCAGTCTTCGTGGCCTTACCCACATGGATCCGGTGGGTGAATGCCAGCGTCCCCGTGTACAGCATGCCAACATAATAGCTGAACTCTGGCCGCTCTGCAGCGGCTAGTTCAGCCAGCACCCGACGACAAAGCTTGATCGCCAAACAGGAACTCAACTTCGCACAGCAAGTCAGCAAGCCCGGCTGATGACACGGAGCTGTTGAAAAGGCTTCACAATACTCTGAAGTGCGCATGCCTCCTGAGGGTATCAGCTCTGCGTAGGCATCCCTGCCTAGCAAGGTCACGAAATACCTTCTGTTGCTTTTGCTGGTCAGGCCTCGAAGGCTCAAACCATCTCAAACCCATGTTATATCCTCACCAACAGGCCTGTAAGCCATGATAGGATTTGGGTTCCAAGTTCCAAGAGCTGTGCGATCAAGCCGTGCGCCTCTTCAAACACAACTCTGAGTGAGTTCGGAGATGTCAGGAGCAATGGCGCGGTAAATGCAGCCAACCAGAAACCCGGTTCACGGAAAACAACATAAAGAACTGGGGCACATGAAGGCACACAACCTTGTAACGAGCTAGTTGGCTTCATAGGGACAACTAATTGCCAGTGAACTAACAAGAAACACACAGGGCTGTCAACATGGACACTCATGCACTGCATCAAGAAGAGCCTGCGAAATGTACCGGTACCGGTCACACAGGACGTTGACAGCATCCAAACCCTCAAAGTGCAAAAAGTTGCCTGCTGTGTAGCCTTGAACGAACATGTGTCAACATGACATGCCGGCGAGAAAAGCAGCACCCAATGGTCCCCAAATGTCAATTGTTGCCTTGCCGGGCCTCGCGGGCTGCACACTCTTACCTCCTAGTAAACAGGGTCTCTTGGTGGAAGAGACCCTACCTTTCCTCTCAAGAGAGAGATAGCGGGGGCAGGAGCACTGTGCACGTGCCACCGACGCCGACAAAGCGATCGAATGTGACCTGTCCTCTCCAGCTATGGCGCCAACCTCAGCAACCAACGCCGGATGCAATATGCCTTGGGTGCATAGCGCCAGCTAGTACGGAGCCCCATGCCAAGCCAAGAGGAGAACCTCCTCGCTCTGCTGTCGACCCCCCTCAGTCTACTAAGTACCCCGACAGCCCTGAAGGAGCGGTGCGGTGGCCTCGTGCGTGCCGCGAGCGGCGAGCAGTGGGAGCAACTGAACGTTTCTCAGCGTGGGCTTCTCGAGAGCTCCCGCCTCTGGGTTCACAAGTCACTACACTTAGCAACTCCCCAAGTGCGAAGTGACAGGTTGGATTGCTTCTGAGAGGAGAGAAGGACGGAAGCAATGGCCGAGCAAAAGCAGAGGGGAAAGTGTTGGAAAGATGCATGAGTGAGCTTATTGAACGGATCCGAAAGACTGATGCGCTCAAGGCAGCAACACACATGCATGGAAGCGAAATGGGATGCGAGGTTAAAGCATGTCTGACGGCCTGTCGTTCCCAACCCTTGATGCTTGGAGGGGTGATGGCGGGTCGAGCCCGTGCTTGGAATGTCCCACTGCCCCGCTGGGAGCTGAATTCCGGTGTGAGACACTGCAGTCGGAGCGCGGCACGCGTCGCTTCATGTGACTTAAACGGGACTTCAGGCTCGCTCGGCGCAAATCCTACAGCTTCTCGTCCCGCGAGCCACACATGTGGGACATCTCATGTGAAATCGCAGCCCTGTCGCATCTACAGTTGGAACATGCTTAGTATTCGAAAGACTTCGCATTCCTCAAATGTTGACCTTGCTTCTCAAGGGGGCGTTAACGATGAGGGACTTTCCTGGAAGGGCTCAAAGTGGAGGTGCGGCCTACATGTAGATCTGTGAAGCCATGGAGATGGCACATCTGCGCAGCATCGCGCTCCCTCTGCAAAGATTTGGTCTTGCAGAAACTGCAGCTGCTTGAATAAAAGCATGATAAACTATCAGGCGGCGGTGTCAAGCGAAGGGACACGGACAGTCAAAGGAGGAGATGGCTCGACCTATGCTATTTGACGAATGTTCTTCGAAGCAAGGACGTCGACAGTGTCCACATGCATCCTTGGTCCCTCTCTCTGCTCGAGCTTTTTTCGATCGGCCGGCTGTGTTTGCTCGTCTTGCTTCTTGCTCTCCTTTGCTCTGTGCTTGGCTCGGCATCGTGCTACCAATAGATCTCATGAGACATTGCAGTAGGGATCTCAAAGCGAGAGCTTCCAAAATCTGCGAGATGATGGCGTAAACTTGCTGATACCTGACTTGACTTAAACACTGTCTCTTCTTCTCGCTCGCACGATTCTGTACACTTTGAGCTTGCAAGCCATCCGCGCATCCCCTCGACATGCAGGCGCACCGGGTTAGTGGCTCACTCGCTCGCTCTCTCCCTCTCTCTCTTTCTTTCGAGGGTAGAAGCAAGGGCAGTCTCTCTCTCTCTCTCTCTCCCTCCATCCCTCCCTCTCAAGACTTTTGGTCCTTTACAGATCAGACTGTATGCGCTGAGGTCGTGTCACCCTCTCCTTCGTGGGAGCTCCCTTCCATATACTCTGCCTCCTCTTCCCATTAAAAACGGCGCAAGCCAGGCGACTTATTCGGCCTGGTACAGGTAAGACCAGGAACGGCACGACGGCGCGATTCTCCGAAAGCTCCCGACTTGAACATGCTGCGGCGACTGCACAACAGCTCTCGTCAATGCTATCAATTCATCAGAAGCTGGACAGACCTGGCTGACACAGGGGCGCTGCGATTGTCTGCCTTTGGACTTGGGAAGTCAACTTTGGAGCTCGCGGACATTACTAGACTCAGGCTACGCGGCTGAGTCGCTGTCTTAGGGTGGAGTCTTTCCATCCGAAGAATCGCCATGCTTCAAGGCTTCTTATCGCGCATGTAGGCTGTAGAACGCTTCATCCTCTGCCCCACCACACCCTGAACCTTTGGCGTGATTGCTGACAAGTATTCTTGCAGTATGCATCCGGCAGTCCGATGTCTTCAACACCTGTAGCTTACTGCAACTATCCGAACACGCCTTGGACAGCGTGGCTCCTCGATTCCGCCATCGCAAGCGGGCGAGCTGCCATCCTCAAGGAACGGGGAAGGAAGACGACATAAGGTATGCTGGTGTTCAGTATTGCCTAGGACATCTATCTGCATAGGTAGATGTAGTGTGCATAGTTGCACACGCACACATCCAGTGTGAATATCCCCACGACGTGAAAATGAGCACGTGGGCGGTGGACACTCTTACGGGGAGGGACCATGGAAACCCAAGAAGCGCTCCTCGAATGTCAGCGTGACGGTGCCCACGGGCGACCCCCACGGCGAGTTCCTTTCGCGGAAGTTCATCCAGGCTCGAAAACCGTGCTCGGAAAGGCCCCTCGACTTCGTTGCAAGCTGCGTAGACCCAAGTCTTGTGCTTTTCGGGCGAGCTCTGGTTTCAGCCGCTTCACACCCTGAGCTTCGAAGATGACGGTGTTGGCAACTCACAACATCGGCACAGCGAAGACCCCGCAACTTCTCGATGCATGCGCAGGTGTCCAGGGCGAGATGTCGGGGCTCCACCTCCAGTCCATCATCTCGCAAGCACCTGGCAGGCCTAACTGAGTCGACTTATCAAGTTTACAAGTGTAAAGGTGCAATCATGTTTTGGCGGTTTGAAGATGGTCGTTTGTGCCCAGTGATAGACACAGAAACACATACATAGAAATATAGGTGTGCATTTTAAACTATGCATACAAGCACACATGTTTGTGTGTGTGTGTACTGACATACATGTACATCGTATATACGCGCGTGTGCATATACAACCACAGACATGCTGTGATGGGCACATTTAAATCCAAAGCACGGTATCTTGGCGGATGCAGATCACAGGCTAGCGGCTAGTTCTTAGCGACATTTCTGTCTCTTCTTAGCCTGATCGATCTGACTTCCCAGTGCCTGCAGACCGCGCTGAGGTCACGGAAGAATCCTCAAAGCTGTGAAGCTTGCGCAAGGCAGAGTTCACTGTGCATGTACCGCATGAGAAATGGACAGACAGTTTGACAAGTAATCACACAACGGGCACAGTAACATAGCTGGTTGGTGGGTGGCCTCGTGGGTAGCTCGGGAACTAAGCAGGTTTGGGCTGGCACCTTCACAGGACGCTAAACAACAGCGACTCGCAAATTCCACACGTGGACCATTCTAGCAGCAAGCATACCCCCCACCGCCACCCCCACCCCCACCCGCACCGCCGTCAAAGCCAGCACAACCACGACCACCACCACCACCACCACCACCACCACCACCACCACCACCACCACCACCACCACAACCTCCACCACCAACATCACCACGTCATTCCCATGCAGTCGCTGCAAGTGCGCACTCTAACCTTTGCAGACGCCAGCTGTCCTCGTCGACGCTCGACCAATCCTCCGGATCTCCGTTCTCTTCTGTAGCCTGGTCTTCGGCTGGCTGTAGCTTGGTAGTTTGACTATGCACTGGAGATCAGAAACCAGTCATTGCCCATATCCCTGACCTTACATCTTCGCCGGCACATGCCCCCAACATATGAAGCATCGGTCGGTTATATGAATTCCCTCTTGAGAATTCAAAGGTCTGATGTTCCTTAGCTTTCAGGTTTCCCGCTGCTCCAACCTCCACACTAACTTAGCACAAGAAAAGGAAGGCCGCCGTCGGCCTCGCAACGCTCTGAGAATGCTTCTGTCCGGTTGCCCACGGTCGTCTCCTGATATCAGAGAATCCAAGGATTGGAGACAAAGACAGGCGTTCGTCTTTCGGGTAGCAATCTTAGCTCCTTGACTCAACTTCGGAAAGGCTTTCGGAACGTCTGTGTGACAGGGCTCATCTTGCTCTACTGTCTCTGCATTCGATGTCCAAGGTGCGGGGCCCACGAAGAGGGGAATTGAACATTAGATACAGGTTGAACGACGCATGCCCATGTCCCAAGCGCAGCCCTCAATGTGTTTGAGTCTGAACCTATCAGAGGTGCTGTGTCGCCCGAACTCGTGGCAGCAAACCCTGCCGAAGATCCAACTTGCTTACGGCCACGATGCGAAAATTGTGAATCCGAAGCCCCGTTGACCTTTTGGGAACCTGAACCGCCATGTGCATAGAAAATAAGACTGCTACCCCTTTTGGTTTTGGGGGTTCATTTTTGCGAGTATAGCATAATATACCCCCCGCAGCCGTATTCTAAATATTTAGGCCCCGATATTTCTTCCCTCATCCCCCCCATCTCCATCGAGTAGAGGCCGGAGTCACCCGAGCGAGCCTGAGCGACCACTAAGACGAACATGCTCTGGAGAGATCCGAACCGTATCATTTTGATCAACACAATGACGGTTAAATATAAATACAAACTTAGTGCATGTATGTTGCCAGTATAGGACATATATGGAGACGGAAACTTGGACAAAGACGGTTTGACCAGCTAAAAATACAGTGAGCATCGGCCCCACACAAACAGCACCGCCGAGACTGACTGTTCATCCTGGCTATGGGCGCAGGGAGTTACGGACCTCTCCGCGTGGCACGTGAGATTCCCCTTGATCAACAAAGTGACCACAACGATGCGTTCTGCTGCTGTACCAACAATGCAGTTTCTAGGTTCGTTTATATATATATATATGTATGTACACATACGTTGGGAGCATCTATGTTGTGAGATGCACAACGGAAGGAAAGCATGGGCCCGGATACTCGACCTTTCCAACCAGACAAGGCTTGCAGCCTAAAGCTGTGCCACGGCCACTAGCGATTGAGGTTTCGAGCTTAGGACTTGGGGTGTAGCTTGGGCTGATAGGCTCCCTGCGTCGTCGGTTGCATTTAGTGCTCAGGGTTTTTGCGTTTTGCTCCCAGCGGTTTTGGGCTGGGGCTGCGGCTGGTTTGGGTTCGCGATCTCGAGTAAGCTTCTTTTTGGAGGGCTGGTCTTTTGCATAAGGTTTTTTCTCGCTATTCGGCTTACGTGGTTGGTGGCTCTTCCGAGGCGGGCCATCGCCTGCTGCGGTTTGCCGTCTACCGTCTCTCCGGTTGTGAAACGGGGTGCCCGCTACTCTCTCTCTTTGCTTTGCTTGGGGCTTGGGGCGGGAGCAGTCCTCCCGTCCCGCGCGGGTGCGCTGCCCCATCCATTCTTCTCAATGAATGGGCTCGGTCTTTACAAATTCAAAGGACGTGTGCCCCCCTGTTGAAGGCTGTGCCTCTTTGTGTGGCATCGAGACTTTCCGGCATTATCACGACACGATAGGGTAAACACAGCTTGGCAAAACACAGTTGACCTTCTTGCTTCCTTGCTTGCTTGCGTAGGGGTTTAGGGTCCCAGGGGACCCTTGGCCCGAAGGCCTACCCCCCCGCGGCTCGCGACGGTCAGTCTTCTCGGCCCCTATCCGGGAAAGGTTGACCTTCTCTCTCTCTCTCTCTCTCTCTTGCTCGCTTGCACTCGGACAAAGGGCCGAAGCCCCCGCACGCGGGCGCGGACCGGGACCCTCTCTCTCTCTCTTGCTCTCTGTCTAAGGGCTTGCGGAAGGGGTCTCCTCCTTCCCCCGCGTCCAGCGCACCCCCGATTTTGGAGTGGTGAGGCTGGAAGCGAAGGAGACTAGGACTACAGTGGCTACAGCACACCAAAGCAGAACAATGCAGTTGAAGCACAGCTGCCATAAACAAGTTAACATCATGCCGAGGCGGGCTTCTAGGGGTCTGGGTGCACACCCCTCCCAAGTCTGAGGCATTTCGTTTTGTTTTCCTCTCTCTCTCTCTCTCTCTGACTTCCTGGAGTTCGGAGCATGCTGCGTGCGCGCGACCAGGCGCATCTTCCCCCCGATGCAATCGAGAAGCCTTCTGCTATGCAGTCGGGAAAAGCACTTGAGCCAAAATTCTCTCTCTTGCTCTCCCCAGTCTCTCACCTCGAACCACGGCATGAAGAAAGTCTTGCGATAGACGGCAGCGAGCATCTATTTCCTGTGTGGCTGGCCTCGGCGTTCTTCTCGACTTTTGCCTTGATAAAATTGGAGTTCGCCGTGGAGCTTTGCTTCCGGTGGCCCTTCTCCTGCACAGCTCTTGTGGCAGTGGGCAGTTGTGAGAGAGTCTTTGGCGCGCACTCGGCAGCCTAGGAATCGAACCAATGCATCCGGAAGTTTGTTGGGGTGCTTGTGCTAAGTAACTTGGCAGTTTCGATCTTACGTCTTACAGATCATGAGGCACGGCGGAGGGGCGGTCCTTCTTCTCCTGGCGCGAGGGCTTGCATGGGCTTGCAACAGTGCAATTCTATATGGGTTTCCAGACCAACGTTGTATATCATCGCGCAGAAGGCTGCAACAATTTGCGCAAGACTCTCACTCCGTTGTGCTCAGCAATTGGCCTTTCCCTTGCTGGAAGGCTTCTGCTCCTGCGCAGCCGTCGCTGGGTCACAGCATTTTTCGTCAAAACAACAGCCGCAGGACCTGTTGTAGGTTGAGCTACGACGGGTTGAAACGGAGCCATCACCGAGTCCTTCTGGCTTGTCTTCTCTTTCCCAGGATCCGTGGAACCCACGTTGGAGACCTGCAGAATTGCGGAAGAGATGCAGCAAGCGATAAACTTCGCCAATGCCCCTGACGAGGGGATAAAGCTTCTGCGTCCCGGGCCTCCGTGTTCTCCGGCTTTGGAGCCGCCGGCTTCAGATGAGCCATGCGCGCCGAATCCTTCCAGCCATGGGCAGGGGCTGGTGGCTGGCAGGTTTCCCGTCCCTGCGTATCATGGACTGCAAGCGATGTGCACAGCCGAGTGGCAACGATGTCGTAAACGCAGCTGTCGTGCGATGCGACACGATCGGAAACTAAATCCTAAAGCTTCAGAAACCCTTATAAATGCTTAAAATGGCCAAAGCGCTAGAATCCCAGAGCCCTCGAAACGCACACACGAGACTCGAAGCCCAACAACCTATCCCAGAAGGCTCAGGCCCTCAAGCGCCAAAATTGAAGCTTGAAAATCCCAAAAACCCTGGACAAACCCCCAGTGCCCTGGAATTTTGGAGGATTTGGGTTTAGGGGCTGCTCCTCGCTGCTCGAGGCGCTGCCCACGGAAGGTCGTCGCTCCTTCGAGTTGCACGCGCTTTACAGAGGAATTTTTTCGGGGGTGAAATTTGAAATAGGCTTGGGCTTTGGGGGGCCTTATAGGGGTTGACGTTTTGGGGTTCAGCTAGAGGATTTGGGTTCGGGTTTCGTGAGTCATTCCTCGACCGCCAGGCTAGGACGACGCGTAGCAGGGTGGGTAATAGAAACGGTTTGCATCGAGTATCACAACTTCCGATCTGCCTCTCACAGTTCACAGGCTGACTACCAACCACAGAAGTCTCAGAAAGCTCCACTGGTGCACAATGGTTTGCACTAGCCTCAGATTCCTCTGCCGCTCAGAGCCCAGTGATCAGGAAGCACTCACGCATTCGCCACGAGTTCTCATCTCAACTCAATCTCAACAAGTATTAGCTTCTCAGCAGGGAGCAAATTACAGTTGTCGGGTGTAAGGCTTGGGGTTTGGGATTCGGCGCTCGTCGTGGCTGGTGTTTTGTGCTGTTCTGGAAAGGGTTGAAGCCTGAAATCTGAGCGCGAGTTCTCTGGCAGACTCGGGCAGTGAAGCATTCACTGTGCATCATGACTCCGAGCCCACACTCCCAAGACTGATTTGCACCGGTATACACGACTTTCGCACGGCCTTGGCAATGGCAACAGCAAGAAGATAAAAGCCGCGCACCAGAAAGTTATAGCCAGATGAATCAAGCTCCAGTCGCCTGGACCTGCTCCTCTTTGGAGTGCTCTTTGGTAGCCTCTGCCTTGGCGCGAGCTCGAAGTGCGAAGCACTTGGGGGAATCGGCTATGGCCCTCAGAGGGTCTTGCGGTCCGAGCCTCTTTGGAGTCCTTGCTGGGTTCCCTCGCCTGTGCGCGAGACTGCAAACAATCTGGGACCCGCCTTTCCCAAATGGAGAGGCTGAGGCTGGATGGCTCGTGCGAGGGATCTCTGTAGTTTTGATGGGGTGGAGAACCACGACAGTCTCTTGGAAGTCAGGGCGTTTACTCCGCGCCATTCCGTCCAACCCACTCTGTTTGGGGTGTCGTCATTTTCACATGTGTGTTTCTAGATGTTGGTCCGTCATTGTGTCGATGCTGCTACAGTCTGAATCTGCTAATCTGCTATGACAGCGTGCCAAGTCTGCTATCGAAACCTCCGACACAGCCTTCTCGCCGTCCTTCTTGCTCTTTGCCTTGTCTTTTGCTTCCGCCCTTAGCATCAGCTGAATAAGCTGTCCGACATTGCCAGAAGACTCTCGAAGCGAGACGAAGCTGAGACCGATAAGAGCCAAACAAGCAAAGTGCTGAGATCGCTGGCTCCTTTCGCTTGCGGAAGTCGATCAACTTCTGGCGCCTCTCCTGCGGTGCTTGTACTGATCTACTATAGTGGCCTCCTGCAGCTTGCAGACTTGTGCGCTGCCGATGAGTCAATGTTGCCCAGTGGCGAAACAACAGAGCAACGCACGTACAAGTACTCTCATGCAATGGTGGCAGAGGAGCTTTGATTCAAAGTGCGGACTGCTCCTCCTCTTTCCGCTGCAGCTCCGCGTATGCGGCTCCTGGCTGCCACAATTTTAACAAAGGCCGTCGGGGGATCAGCGATTTCTGCCTGGGAGTTTGAGAATGTAAGACTCCAGGTTACCAAGGTCCAGCAGAATACTGAAGCCTAACTCATGTTATTTCTCGGAACCCTTGCCACCGACCTATCTGCAGGCTGAGCAGGTATCGAGGAGCTGGCGCTACAAGTGCCAGAGAACTCTACGTATATCCTATTTAGTATTTAGTAAGTCCTTGCATTCTGAAACTGCGCCCCTGTGAAGCCCAAAAACCGAATCAATCCAACGACGGTTTTTACTCCCCTGGGCAGGGATGGGACTCTCGGCATCCATGGCCGCACTCACGCTCCAAGGCCCCTGCGATTCGCAGCATCATCGAAGGGGTCGCCCAAGGCCAAGTTCTTGGCATTCTGCTCCTGATTGGCGCAGTCGTGCAGTAGTACAGTAGTACGGTAGTAGTGTAGTAGTAGTAGTAGTAGTAGTAGTAGTAGTAGTAGTAGTAGTAGTAGTAGTAGTAGTAGTAGTAGTAGTAGTAGTAGTAGTAGTAGTAGTAGTCCAGTACGAGGGTTTAGGGGCTTCGGGGCTCTCAGGCTGTCACACTCTCGGGCGGCAGGAGGCACACTCAGACGCAGGTTCGAGGCCTTTGCCGCACCGAAACTGCAAACACCGAACACAAGCTTGATTCCAGAACGACTCCCAAGCTCAAAGCAAGCCACAGCTATCAAAAGCATCTTCGGCAACACTCAGCAATGTTAGAAAAAATCTGAAGCCCAAGAGACAAGCGAAGTATTCCAAAAAAGGGTGTCAGGCCCAGCAATGTACAAGAAACGACCGCAACACAACCTTACAGTACCCCCGACCGCTGCCAGGCTGCATCAGTCTTGGGAAAGGGTGCCCGGATTTAGGAAAGCTTCGTGATTAAGTTTTCGTGGCATTACAACGTTCAGGATTCTGTCACTTGAGGGTCTCTACTCTAGGACCGATCCCTGAGGCCGCTGGGTGAAAGAGCTACATCCTCCACACCGAGTGGCCAAAAAACGACAGAGGCAGAAAGGCAGGGAGGCAGGGGATCCACCAAACAGAAGCCAAACTACCACACAAAATGAGTCAACCGCCCAAAGCACAAACATCGCCTTCGCCAGCTTGCCCGTTGGATCGCACAGCGGCTCCTTCATACCTCAGAGCTTGCATGGTGGCAGAGTCCGAGTTGAGCCTTTCCACGGCGAGGCGCTCTCGATGTCACTGACGATCTGCTTCGCTAGAGCTTTGTTGACCTGTCCGAGATTCCTAGCCCTGTATGCTTGGACCATTGGAATCTGTCGTTAAATTTGGATTTGTTGAGCTGTGGATTCGAGGTGTTACCTACAACCGAACCCTGCACTGCAAAGACCCTCGCCCCATCACATTGGCAAGCCTAATGCTGAGCCCTGAACCCGGCACCCCTGCATTTACCCGCACACACAAAGGAGCGAGAAGCTAGAAAACCGCCTGCCTTCATGACTTTCAACCTCAGCAAAGCTTCGACAGGCAGAAGGTTTCACGTGGCGGTGAGACTCGGCAGCCGCTCTCCAAGCAAACCCTGGTGCAAGTCGTTTATGAGAGAGTATCTGGATGAAGCCGTGAAATCTCTATTAGCCTGTAGACCCTATGAGCCCCAAGCCGCTGCTTTTCGACGAGGAGGCCGATGCAGAAAGGTCTTAGACCGTCTAGGCCCAGGCCACTGGCTGTAGCCCCTCGACACCCTAGTAGTGCAGAATTAGGGGCCATGCCCCGCCACCACCCCAAAGTAAGCACCCTGCTGCTTCTCGACGCACTTCATCATCAGCTCAAAGATCTTCACCGTGACGCCCAAACCTGCGTCGGATGAAACCCAGGATTTGTTAGGGAATGCGGGCACTCGCTGCTTCGGATCACTGATCCATGTCCAATGAGCTTACGACATGGTTACGAGCCGGCATGCTCCAGTTCTACACTCAAAAGCCTGGCACTCGAATCCTCAAAGAATCGCTCTACAGTTACAGTGGCTTCGAAGCGCGTCGACCCGCGTGCCTGATTTGACAAAAGGATGGTGAGATTACATGTGCTACTTCTGGCAACTGCTGAAGCCTATCAACTACCCTCCCTGTCTTCGTCAAGGCCTGTGTGGGCAAGGAAGAGGTCCGGTCCCCGATATGCCTTCCGAGAAAAGCTTCTCGACGATGGCTCTGTAGGAACATGGTATGGGAGATCGTGGCAAAGACGAAGGTTACATGGCATATAGGCATAGAACAGGAGCATGGCATGGCACGGGCATTCACACTGCCATTCCACTCCGACCAGTTACATTACCGATGTGGCAGACACGTGCACGCCTGCCTTGCTGCAGATACACGAAAACTCTGAGTTCAAGTTAGATCCATCCCATCCCATCCCAGCCATCCATCCATGCATGCACACATGCACGAATCCATCCATGATGCGACCACGCGTACCAGGTATATTGGTGCAAGCTCGCAGTCGCTACTTTTTGGACTGTGCCTGAGGTTCCGAGGCTTGCGCTACTGTGTGCCAGGACCTGGGGATCTTCACGGGACCTTGCAGTGCCTGCGCTGTGGGCTCCGGCCTTGCCACCCCAAAGGCCGCCAAGATAGTCGACGGTTCTTTTCCTGTGCTTCGAGTTTTGACGAGCGGCAAAAACCCGTATTCCGAGAAAGCCTTCTGGAGAACCTTCTAAAGCCGTAGCTTGGCGATCGGCGAGGCGAGACCCTGTTGCACTTGTATCAGTTGATGCTCTGGGCAAAGCGATTGTGTTCATTGCTGTTTCACTGCGAAGACCAAAGCTACCGTAAGCGCATCTTTGGCCGCTTTAAACTACAGGGAAGTCCGGAAGTTATACAGCACACGCACACGCCATTCCACAGATCCTATAGCTGCGCGCCTTTCCCTGGCTGGATGCAAAAGCAGATGAACCCCCTGGAGATGTCAGCCAAGGAGCTTTAAATGAATAAGGTTCCTGTTCTCGAAGAATTTCTTCATGTCCTTGTCCTGGCCGGCCCAGTCTCGTGAATAGGCATGGCAGTTCTGCCTGCCGTGATTACAGAGAGCGCCGCCGGCAGTTGATGCCGGAACACTGTCGCCCTGCTGTGGTTTCCCGAAACGCAGAGTTCAGCACTGCAGCCACAGACTTGCAACGAGTGGCCGCTCCTTTCCCAGAAACGCAACTTCAGATCGAAAGAAGAAACACTCCAGGATTCTGTTCAGCGTTTCCGTGACGGGCCTGAGGCACCTTCTTCTTTGACATCGGTGTTTGCTGTGCTCAGTGGTTTCTACGGCTCCCGCGCTGCATGATGCATAGGCGGCAAGGCGTGCTCGGCAACATCAGATTCACTGATGACAGGCTTTAGTGCAAGCGCTACGTATCGGTCTCGAGCGGGATTTCACGCGGCTGCAAGCGTGGACTGGGTGAGGAGCATTGAAGATACCTCCAAAGAAGCCGAGTTAACGAAATCAAACCACCGCGCAACCACATAAGGCGTGAGGAGAATGCAGCTGCCAAAAGGAAAGCAGAGGCCGCCCGCAACCAAAGCTTCCAGACAGGTCTTTCACTCCGTCTCTTGACTATTCCGAGCTGATTTCCCGAAGTACTGCTTATCGATCTGTCCTCTGCTCTACTCTTGTTTCTAGGATCAGGGGGCTATCTAGGTGATAAGTAGGTTGTAGTCGGAGGGATAAGTAGTCTGCTGAAGGGGTGTTCTGACTTATTGCTCTGCTTAGACTCTATTTGCCGTTTCCCGTGATCCTTAGAGTCCTCTGAAGCTAGTTCAGAATTACGACTGCTGCGCGACGCCGGCACGCGGGACTTCCAGACGGAGACAATTGTGTTGCCGTGCTGTGAGATGTGTTCTTCGCGCCAGTCTCTGAGTCAAAGGGGCTGCAATGTTTAGCTACTTTGCACGTGTAGCGAATCGGGAGTCGTCTGCGCGGTCCCGGGGCCCAGAATCCTCAGAGCCTTGAATCCAGATCCTTCGTGTGAGAACTTCCACTCTGCACAATGACACTCCACGGAACGGGTCCGTAGCCATCATGTTGTAGAAGCCATCCACGAACTTTTCAAGTGCCTCCTCGACAGCTTGCAACCAGTCGAGGCTTCCGAGCCATGCTAACGACAGTGAAGGGAGTCGATGCATATGTCATTTGTCGAGTCGATTGCTCTGAATGGCTGACGCCCCGCTCGCCGTGGGTTTGAGGGCATTCCGGCACGGCGAATCTAGTTACCAGTATATAGATAGTGGCACCAGGAGCAGTCAACCCCTGAACCGAAGCGCCGACCACCGAGCTTCCCAGACCAAGAGCACCTCAAGAAGTCCCGCGACGCTGGACACAACAAAAGCGCAACAACTTCTCGGGAAGCTGCCAAGACAGATCCCTAAATCTAAAAGCAGCCTGCAAACCTGAGGAAATAGAAACGTAATCTCGCCCCTTCCGGGCCTGACCCCCAAGCTTCTCGAAAATGCTGTCGGGACCGCCTGGCACTGTCCGCATGGGGCAGTCCGGTGCTTGGGAAAGCGAGGGTGGGAACTCAGGCGGCTTTTGGCATGCGGTTCTCGCGTGAGGATGTTGGGATGCTGCAGACCCCAAGTCGCTGCCTGGATGCTCCAAGTAGTGCAGCCCGACATTGGCGATAGCTTGAGGCATGGCTACGACGGCTACGAAGCTGGGGTCCTTATGCGACTGTCTGAGAGTGATTGCTAAGCTTGGGGGGTGGGGCCTTGGGCGAGTAAAGGCCGCCTAATTGCGAACTCTTGGATTTGGCTAGAATGGCAAACAACAGGAAGGTTGCATGAGCAATCTGCGCAGGCGAGCCGTCCAGCATGCAGAAGAGTGGTCGCAGATCGGTATCAATTGACATGCAAGTCTCCATCGTCCTCAAGCACTGAGGAACTGGCCTGCAAGTGTGCCGAAAGCACCGATGTGGCACGCTTTCTGATGGCATCTGATCACTCCGACGGCGCCTACTGTAGTTGTGCTATGCCTTGTGCGGCTGACGACACTCCAAAGGCAGAGGCTCCGGGCTCCTGAAACTGAGCACACATCTGGCTTGAGCTACGAGCAAGCACCGGGCCGGAGTCCTCTTGCGGTGCTCTACTGTAGGCTCTTGATTCTGGAAAGGGAAAACCAGGTGAATCCCCAACTATAGGGACCCGAAGGTCCCAGGCTCTCGAAGAGGATCTTCAACTTGGCAAGCCCTGGTTAGCCGAGAAAAAAGATGCCCTTTGACTCCAGAGATCGGAACTGTGTAATTTGTAAGTGCTTTCATCCGCACCACCAGGTCCAGGTGGGTATACTCGTCCACCAACTAAGCTTTGCCCTTGGCACTAACTCCGATTAAAAACTCTCAGCAAAACAAGGGCCGTCACAGCAGCTGACATCAGGCCCCTGGCAGCAATCTGCTGCAACCAACTGTCATGCAGAACTGCAACCTTTCGAAAGACGTCAACGACATTATGACGTCTCTGTAGGAACAACCCACCCCTGGCGATTGCGTAAAAGAATCAGGTCTCCTTTAACCACAAAACCTCGTAAGCTCGGAGCCTCTTGGCGGCATTGCAATCCACATCGCAGCCTCTTGCATTCTGTTGCGACAGATGCTTAGATCTTTGCCTCACAGTTTTGAAGAGCCGGCTACATAAACTCTTTACTTTACAGAGGTCCCGCCCTTTCTGAAACAACCACATCATACCTGCGCTCTGGACTGCCAAGTCTTTTGCAACATTCGCTTTCAATTACCTGCTTAGACTACACTTGCCTGTTGACTTCCTCGAAGTGTGCTCTTCCACCAAGCCAGCTATCGGTTCGACAACATACTAAACCCCATGATTTTCGGCAGTGTTTAGCCCAGGATGCTCACCCATTCACACGGACTCAGTTATCTGTCAGCCGCAATGTAAAACAAAGCGATTTCGCTCTGCGCGCATGCCTACAATCTACAAAGCAATTCTCGAACTGGAACTACCGAAACTACAAGCACTTCACATGTAGCGCCCTTCCATCTGAAATTTCTTCTATGCCGAAGTTGCTGCAGATTGTTTGTGTGCGTCTGTGCATAATCGCGTGATATATGATGATCTGAAACGACAGCCTCGGAGCATAGCAGTTGCACCATGCTCACAAAGGGACAACTCAAGCCAGCCACAAGAAGCACTTGAACGACCACGAATCGAGACTACGATCGAGCAGGACTGGCAGGAACCACGAAGTTGTTGCCAGAAAGGGATCCCTGCACCCCAACCACGTGCTGTGGTGTCCGCACTGATACCAAAAGGATAGCCCTCGAATACTGTGAGATCGGATGGCCTCTACAAGCTGCAAGTGGTTATATACCTGCGCGGCTACGAAGTTCTCATCTTCTGGAACCGACCCCTAGAGACCCCTGTGTGCCATATGTAGGATTCTTACAGGTAGGTGCCATTTTGGGCCACTGCATGGAAGGAGGCAGGGACGGATCGCCTGACAAGGTGCTCTTGGCCGCTTCACAGGCCGTCTTCCTCGATGCTGCAGGATGCTGCAGGGGTCCGGGTGGGATTTGGGGGCCGTTTAGATTTAGGCTCATAGGTACTAATATACATATATATATGTGTATATATATAAATATATATATATATATATAAATATAAATATATATATATGTGTATATATATATATATAAGTATATATATATATATAAGTATATATATATACACATATATTTACAGAAAGGCTTAAAACATCCGCTTTGAGTTGCATGGCACCTTCGGGAGAAAGCGCACAGTACAGGTCACCCAAATGCATTGGTTCTCCAAGGGACTGCGCGTCGAAGCAGGCCGTAGTGACCTGCAGCTTGACTCTACGTGCAAGATGCGAGGACTGATTGGCGAGGTCCTCAAACTAGAAGAAGCAGGGCTAGCGACTAGCAAGCAGAAGCAGATGGCATATCCAGAGGATCAGAAACTCAGACGGTATGTGTGTGTGTGTGTCTCTGTCTGTGTGCATACTATACATGTGTGTGTGTGTGTGCAAGTAAACATTTAGCGGTGCATAAGTAGGCCAGTGGCTCGCCCCGACTGGTGTACTTCCAACCCCACTTGCGTAAGCCACTTACCAATCATCAATCATCCCTGATCCTCTGCGCAGACGCACCCAACTGTCGGCCGGGAAAGCTACACGGGCAACCCGAAAAGCCTAAACGACAATGCCTCCGGGAGGAATCGATTTCTCTACAGGCCAAGCCAAGCCCGAAAGTTGATATGGGTTTATGTGTCTTGTGGGGTTGTGGGCTGCCAGGGTTTCGGCCTGACTGGATGCAGCTTCCAACCTTCAAGTCCGAAGCGAAGCTCGAATTCAGCAACGGCCCTTGTGTGGATGGGCAGATGCCTCGACTTCTGGGCAGTTGTCACCTCGGAAGGGGAGATGTCCGAAGTGCTCAATTGACCTTTGTCGAACCTCCGGGGAGCGCAAAATTTGCGGCGCTTTCTCAAGTCGGCACTGGTCTTCTCTGTAGTCCAGGCTGACCAGAATCCTGCACTTCCTTTCCTGAAAACCATGTCTTCCACCGCAGTCTACTCAGCCGAGCAACAGGACTTTCGCTCAGCAGGACGCGATGGATTGGTGCAGTACGTGTGACACTTCCAATCCTCGGAGTCTCGCCCCGGTGCTTGCCAGGACCTGTTTCCGAGCTACCCGAGTACAGTCCAAACTAGCCGACTACAAGTCAGAGCTAAAGAGCCTGCGCTGCCGAAACGACGCTTGAAGAGCCATGCTCTCGAAGGCTCATGCACTGGCTTCCGTATCGAAAGCTTTCACACCACACTTTCGATGCATGAGCTGAGAGCTCTCTGTGCAAGCTAGCATCATCGCAGCTCCAGCCGGAATGGTCCCAAGTGCCACGCTCCGGACACCTCTGTGCCTTCAAGGGGCTATGCGAGAGTTCTCTTCAGCACATCCTTCGCACACGGCCCGTCCTTCTCCTGATCGAAGAAGAAACTTTCCTCAGGAGCAGGTGCCAGGTGTAGAATGTTCGTGACTGTGACTAAAACTGAGATATACCCCTAAATCCTCGATGCCAACGAGCAGACTAGATGTTGGCTGGCGGCACGGAATCAAAAAGAAGTGGAACTCATGTGCCGCCGTCATCACAAAATTCTAGCCGGAATGCAGAACACTTTAAAATACATACGACCATTACAGCCTACTAAATAAGAATATCAAACAGGAATTGAGCACCAAAAACAGCTAGAGGAGTACAAGGAGCACCCGGAGATTCGCACTGCGCGATGCCCGCAGATTCGGAGGCCGTACAGCCCTGGTAGGTCTCCTGAAGTCTGAAGGGGTCGAAGTAACATCCCCCCCCAGTTCCGGTCGCTGAATAAGGATTCTTTCAAGCAGCTTTCCATACTGAAAGTGGTGTTTCAGGTGCTTCGGCCATGTTGACCGGTGCTAGTCTCAGCTCGATCTTCACAATCCGCACTGCCATCTCTTGGTTGCTGGCCTCCGTCTGCGCCAGCGCATGGGCGAAGCTGAGACACATCAGGGTAGCCTTCCTCGGTTTTGGAGGCCAAACACTGCCAGAAACCCAACTGCGCAAGTGTCAGATAATGGTCCTATGGAGCAGTTGGGGATGGGTGTCGCTCTGGGCTCTGGGACCCTGAGCTGTGGAGCTTCTGCGGTTTTTTGGGGGGTTTCCAGTTGTGCGCAAGGGTTTCCTTCATGTATGCAGTATGCACGCCTGCACACACTCGCAGACCAGACAGTGCCGTCGTAAGGGGCCTCTTGTGGATATTGAGCGTCCGGAATGTCGGCTTCTTTTCCGAGGGGAATTGCCGAGGTTGGCATGCCCAAGAACGCCCACCTCGAAAGCCAGGCTCGTGTGGGCGCGGCCTTCGGCCCACCCACACAACGACACCGGACCACAACAGCTCGGCTGCTCTCATCGCAGGCAACCCGTTTGGTATGTACCTTGCTCCATCCGACGAGTTTTCAGCTTTTCGCCCTACAAGTAGGAATGTTGACCACCTGCCAAAGCAGAGTTGGACCTGCCTGTCCTACACCTCCAAGGTTTGGCTTCAACAAGTTGTCACTAGCCATTTGGGCATGGGTTCGGGATTCCCCTGCTCCGTCTACAGTGATACATACAGAATCCACAGAATCCTACATCCTACTCTTCCAGCCGCACACCTGGGCTTCCGAGGACTGGCAGAAACGGGCATTGAAGTCGTGCGAAGTTGCGTTGCTTGTGGCACTGCGGAACTCAATGCCCACTGTAGGACAAAGCAGGCAAGCCAAACACTGGACAGGTGCAGACGGGGTGGGGGCGGGTGGATCTTGCCATTTCGAGCTGCTTAGTGCCAAAGCAAGCCTTGCACTTCGCGAGACGCAGACTTCACAGACTTCAGTTTCTTTTGCATCGCTCCGGGCTTTGCAGTCACAGGGTTCGCCTTTGGAGACCCCCTCTGCTTGGCGGAGGAAAACTGCCTGAGGGTTGCTGTCCTTCCGTCCAAGGGTCTTTCTGACACAGACACCCCACTTCAATGAGTTGTCGCAAGGTGTTCATTGACAGAGCAGCAGCAAATGGTGCTGCGTTCCATCATCCCCTTCGCATATCGGCATATCTCCCATCGCCTGCCTAATGGCTTGCGTCGTCTGGTCGCGTTTCAGAGTCTTCATTAGGAGCTGAATGAAGGCTACATGGCAAGTGATGTTGTTTTGCAGAACTTGGCAGAAGGCAGCATCGTGATGCTTTTTTGGAACCGCGTATCAAGCCACCTCGCCCAAGACCAAGCACAGAAAGCTGGCGCCGGAAGGCTAAAGCCCCCCCCCGCAGTGGCCCCATGAACCTTTGACCCTCAAGTCCTGAACCCGAAACGCCTAAACTTCTAACTGCTGCCCCGATCCCTCAGCACTGGCAACCCTCAGGTAAGCGCTCGCGGAAACTCAGAGGTTGACGCGCTCGGAACCAGCAGCGGTCCGCACTGGAGCCTGCTAGCTCCCAGCCTCTTGTGCCACATGCAGATCTGAATGTGGGGCTCTGGAGCCAAGCTCGAGATCTATGGTATGGGACACAGTTAGGAGTTGGCCCCCGAAGCACCATACTCAACCATCTCGAGTGCACCTTTTCTGTCAAAACCTTGCCTTCCTCTGATCTGCTGCACGAGCATGAAGTTGGAATCTGCAATGGCAAAACACAAATCGCTGTGCTTAGACAGGGATGGAGCGAATGTAGCTACCACTTAGGGAACGCTTTGGCTTCCCGTGCTCAGTTCGGGGGTACAGCGCGCGTCTGACTCATTATGTAGTAGGGACGAGACTGTCCCCTTACCGTCTGTATATAGCAACACTGCTACGACTTATGCACCTAATAGGCCCCACGGCCCTGTTCGAACCATCAAGGCCCCTATTTTAAGTCGAAGTGCTCGCGGGTAGAGCCTCACATCCAAGCTCCCGAAAAGCGGGAAAAGCGTCCCTGCTTTTCAGGGGCACCTAACAAACCAGCGGAGCGAGAGTGCGGATTTCGGGTCGCATCGACTTGGGAGCCTACTTGTCGGGTATCATGGGCGACTAGAGGTTAACCTTTTTTGGGTATATCGGGATTATAGAGGGACTATACTACCCAAAAAAGATCAAAGGTTACCTGCTCGACTACTAGGTAAGGCCTCTAAGAGTCCTAAGGCCTCTAAGCGCCGTCGTTTCGTGATCGTCTGCTACCCGCACCGCTGAAAGGAGCCGCCCTACCAGGGGCCGAAGATCTCGGCTCCAGCTCTCCCTGGGAAAAGACGTCTCAAAGTGAACGCAATCCTGAAGACCCCTGGGAAACATCCTAAGGTGCCTTGAAGACCAAGCTGCGGAGGGATACTTCTGTACTAGGAAAGCTCCTAAGAGACTCAACACCGTGTTTGGCCGGGTGCTTCCAGCTTGACCCTGAACCGTGGTATCTTTTGCCGCATGACCTTTTCTAGGGTCGGGGTTCTGTGCGAAAGGTACCAGGAGTTAGGTTTGCTGAGGCTCTTCCCCCACCCTGCCAACACCACAAGACTCCTCGGCATCTGCATCTCCAAGAAACAGAGCAAACGAAGAAAAGATTGGGCATCCATGTGCTGCCTAAAGCGCGCTGCATAAACGATTGAGACATTCTTACAACCGGTTGCAGACACGTGAAGTGACAGCCACCCTGAAAGTGCCTTTGATGCCCAGTGAACAAGTGCTGCAGAAGGTCTGTGGCTGTTACTGGCTGGCAAAGTCCCTGTGCGGTGTCCGTTGCATGCGGGCAAGACTACTCCGGCACTAACATGGCAGCTCTCCCACTTTGTGGCTCGCGTGTGCCGCGGGCAAAAATGCTCCCCTAGGTGCGAGGGTAGGCCGTTAGCGTCTGCATCATCTAAAACGCCAACCACTCACAAGTCCCAAGCCAACCGAGAATCCAGGCTCACGGCAGCTAACAGCTAGTAAGGATCATGTGAACGAAGTCATTGTGAGCAACACTGTATGAATAGACCAGCAAGAAGACAGGGCTTTTTTTGTCTGGACTGATGCCCGTGAGCTGAGGAATTCGAACTGCATAAGTCTAGCTAGCACGATGCCGGCTTCCACCGCAATACCCTCGCCGCTGTCTTGGCTGCGCTGGTGAGGCTTCATGGCTTCACTCTTGAATCTTCTGGACGGTAGTGCGCTTGGGCATGCCTGATTCGGCACAGGACGGCGAAAGGTTCAGCTTTTGCAGGGCTCCGGTTTTAGTTTTGGCTGTGGCGGGAACGACTCACCAAAAAGAACAAACAGGCAGTGTCGGTCGCAAAAACATCCCTCATGCCCGGAAGGTCGCGCGGAACCCCATCGGAACCACACTGCATGGCTATCTGTGGCCAAGCCACTGAAGATGGTGCCCTGGTCGTTCTCAGGGCCGATCAGCATGAGCCTGCTTTCGCACTTGCTGGAAGGTGGAATCGAGAAGCTCTCCACATGGTACGCGACAGTAACTCATGGACAAAGCGAGTGCTTTGCCCTTTGTGCAAGCAGGGGACAGCGGCATAAGGAAGTTGGTGGACATGAGAATCGAAAGGCCGATGACCATGAAGATGAAGCCTGCCACAACAAACGGTCTTTCGCACACGATCCACGCGCCTCAAAGCAGCCTGAAACTTTGAGTGTGCCGTCTGAAAGGAAGGCACGGCTCGAGATCGCTTGACGGGAGAATTCGTCAATTCAGAGCGTCTGGGGCGGTACCAAGGACACCTACTAGTAGGAAGGAATCGGATTGTAGAGGTCTGAGGTAAGGGCTCTGCCTTTCTTCCAGACCTTGCTGCTTTGGGGTGCAGCTTTGTTCTTAGAGGTTTCGTGATCCGAGTGCCGTCTGCTCCGCAGTGTTTCCAGCTCGGGTTGGGAGCCCTTGGCCCCGCCTCCGAATTGGAAGAAGAAGTAGAAGCCGCCTCGCCGCGAAAGGCATAAGCGCACACTCCACATGCTTTCGAATGCCGAGAGGTCCCTTCTGCCAAGGTCTGTCACGGGTAGTGAACACAACTAGAGGACATGACCAGGAAGCGTCTCTGAATGCTTCAACCCATAAATGCCACGACAGCCAAGGTACAAGCGAAAAGCATGGCTGCAGCAAAGAGCGTGGTGATGGCTGAATTCGCTACCTCGTGTCCATCAGGAAGCAAACAAACCATCCGAGCAGTTCCTTCTGAGCGTCTCTGCTATAGTGACAGAGGGACTGTCATGTCTCAAAGCACCCTGGTGTTCTGTGTCACAAGATACAAGGCTCCCAGCTGCTGTGCCAAGGGGCCGAGATGCCCATCTCTTCAAGAGCTGCATGGGCCTCCAAATCCACAGGGGGAAAAGCGGGCAACTACAATCAGGAGCTTGGACGTGGGATGTCATTGAAGACGGCGCGCAGTCCAGAATGGAGATCAACACTCACACTTTGCAGCGCAACCTTCGAAGCCCCGAAACTAAGCCCGACTTACGCGGCCCTCTTGAAAGTCCCCGACCCTGGCAGTGCGTGTCTTCGCTGGCGTATTGTTGTACGCGTGCAGCATGTGCACCTGAAAAGACATCCGATTTGGGGTTTTCCAGGAGCGATAGCCCGACAGTAATGCCATGTATCACCTCCGACGTGCTTTTGATTCGCTGCCTCCTCTCTGCTCTATAAAGTTAACCCACTAGAAACGGGGAACAACAAAACCGCTGCCTACCGGCAACGTCATGCCACTTTCGGTGGCACACTGGGCAAACCTGGAGCCGCTTGGGTTCCACCCGATTGTACCTAAGGCCTAAGGCCATATCTATATCCTGATCATCCCTGACTGGTGGCTATCTGGGGATACAACAAAGAAGCCACGGAAGTTTCCACTGCATCATCCCAGCGGCTGTATAATCCACAGACAAGCCGACCGTTGCGATCATAAAAATGCCTCAGCATCAACAACGAGGATCAACTAGGCTTCCAGCTTTTTCAATCGAAAGCCACACCAACGAGCCTATCAAAAGCCACCTGGAACTGCAGGCCGTGTCAGCGGTACGACCAAACATGGCAGCTTAAGGAAAACGCGAGGTGGGCCTGGGCCTTGTGGCTGCCGAGATGCACTCGTTCTCGCCCAAACTCCAGCCAAGCAGTGGGACGACACCCAGGAAGGTGGCAGTGATGCAGATGATACCTTGCAAAGGTCTTGCAGTGAACAAGACTCATGAGGGCAGTTTTGTCTAACAGCACTGCAAGGGGCACCAAGACCCACCCTCCCAAATTGCCACGGAGAGGCCCTCTTCCCCCTTAATCCAAAGGATCCAGAAACCCAACATAGTGCCACCCAGAAGTGCATATAAGCCCCAAAGTGGAGGTCCACCAG